ATAGCGTCCACTCGACCTACGCCGACTGCCAGAGCTTTCGGTTGGACTCCTCGTGTAAAGCCAGCCTCTCGGCCTTGGTCATGCGACTGTTCGCCTGGGGCTTGGGGACGTCCGCCGGGGGGAGAGGGGCGCCTTCGGGCTCCCAGTCGTCATCCCAGGCATCTGGGACTTTGCGTCGCGACATGGTCTCGGTTGGTGGTATATACAGCTAGAGGTAGGGAGGGAGAGAGGGGGCAGCCAAGTGTCAGAGCAGCAGCATATGGTTGTTGCTGTGTGTGTCAATCGAGTGTGTCGACTGTAGCACGGAGCTTTGGTTGGGCGTGTTCTGGTTGGGTGGCGTGCGCCGGTTATTGTCATAAAGGGTTCGTGTGGTGTTTCTTGCGCTCGCCAGCAGGTGAACCTTCACGGGCAGCGTGCTGGTGGAGTGTCTGGTGGCGCACGGACAACCCGCCAGCCCCACGGCGCATCGTGGACCAACAGTGACTGAGGTCTAGTACCTCGATCGATTCGATTGGGTATTTGGATCAGCCATGCTCAGAAACCTCCCTCTCATATCATATCAACCAGTCCATCGAATCCTCCTGACGCTATCACACTGCTGCAAGCTGTGAGAAATCAATTCCGCGTTCCCAGCCGTGGTCAGCTCCGTCTTCCAACTGCCCCTCCCCTCCACCTCCACACTAAGTAAGGGACGGCTCAGATTGGTACGAGTCCACGGTGCACAGGTCAGCAGTACCCGTCTGAAATCCACCTGACAAGACCATTGAGGGGACCTCAACACCAAACCCCATCAAATGGTCTCAGCTCCAATAGGGAACTAACCAAGCCGCAGATCCGACAGAGATCGCAAAGAAGCACACTTCTTGTTTCCAGAAGACGCCGGCCAAATTCTAGCTATGAATTCTGGAGACCTGATGTCGGACGGCCCAGCCATGACCGACGAGACGCACGGGACCACGGGGGCGGCAGAGGCCAAGCCTGGGTCCTGGAACAAGAGGTCCCAGGAGGAGTACGACCATGCTCGGGGCCGGTTGGTTCATCAAGATTTCAACCCAAGTAAGGCCTATCATGAACCTGCAAGGGCGGCGTTCCGTCCTGAACAGACTCTCGGGCTCGTGCTGACGTCACTTCAAACCATAACAGCCGATTACCCCGACCCTCTATTGCCGCGGAAGGATACCAAGAATCCCTACGCCGGAAGATTCCCGGCAGATGCTGAGGCCCGGCTGAAGAAAATCTTGGAGGCGGCGACTCTGCCGGTCTGAGACGTAGAATTTCTTTTTGGGACATTGGCCCTCCTCACAGCGTCTCGCCACTTGTGGGAGCGTGAACTTACAGTAGTGCCGCAGAGCCTGGCTTTCCACGAAGAGAGAATAGAATTATAAGGTTGAGGACTACCACCTCCTATAGTTTGAGCAAGCACGGCCCCTACCTTGAGAGATGCGTGCGCCGGGGCGGTGCAGGTCCTGGACCTATCACCACAGCACCCACTACGATGGCACATTATATATTATTTCAACAACCTTATCCCGCTCTGCAGTTTAGAAAATAAACGATTTTATTTGGACAACGCGCGAATTTACCTACTTATCCACGTACTATCTAGTATTTCACGAGCCATATTTTTTTTTTGACGATCCTCTACCTAGGTGTACTACGTGGCCCGTGCGCGGGGGGACGTCACCCAGCCTGGTGCGTGGGCAAATAGGGTGAAAAATGACGGGCGAGGTGTAGGGAGGGGCCCTGTACTATGCGCGAAAAGGGAAAGAATCAATCAGCGGAAAGGCGGTTGGAGAGCAGCACAAGAAACGGCCCTATCACCACTTAACAGCTTGATTGTGCATGGCTGTGTCAGTCGCTCATTTCTGAGCAATCGGTGACACAAATTGTTACTTTTGTTCTTTCTGGGAGGGTGGAGCCTAGACGTTGCGTTAACCCACATTAGGTTTTGGCATTCACGACCTCCCCCTGGCCGTCATTCCTATATTACCCACCCACCAAGTCCCCAAGACTCAGTGCCCAACGCGGAAATCTCTAAGACCTAGAACCGCCACGCACGAGCTTCCAGGGTCATTGAAGCTAGAAAGCTACACCAATCATGGACAACAAACCCGTGATAGGCCTCCTCGGGGGCGGCCAGCTGGGCCGAATGCTCTGCGAAGCCGCCGGCCCGCTTGGCTTCGACATCGCCATCCTGGACGAGGCGGGCTCGCCAGCCAAGCGGGTCGCCGAAAACGGCCTGCACATCGAGGGCTCGTTCAAGGACCCCGTCAAGATCCGCGAGCTTGCGGCGCGATCCGATGTGCTGACGGTCGAGATTGAGCATGTTGACACCGAAGTGCTCGAAGACATCGAGACCAACGGCGTCGAGGTCGTCGCCACCGACGGCACAAAGACGCTCAAGAGGGTGCCCGTCCACCCGTCCTGGAGGACCATCAGGCTCATCCAGGACAAGTACGAGCAGAAGGAGCACTACCGCCGTCATGGCCTGCCCATCGCCGACCAGGTTGCCATCGCTCCGGGGGATGAGATGGCCTCGCTGGTGGACGCGGGTCGCAAGCTCGGTTACCCGTTCATGCTCAAGGTGCGGTATACTGACTAGGGAAACTTGCAAACCGCCTTGCATGCACTGCTTTACTAGCAACAGTAGCAGTAGTAGTAGACACTGACGCCCTTGCTCTTTTTTTTGCAGGCTCGCAAGGGCTCCTACGACGGCAGGGGGAATTTCAAGGTCTCGAGCGAAGGCGACCTCGAAGCAGCCGTCAGGGAACTGAAAGGCCTGCCGCTATACGCCGAGAAGTGGTGCAGCTTCGCCAAGGAGCTGGCCGTCATGGTGGTTAAGACCGAGAGCGCTGGAGAACTCAAGTCGCTGCTGGCCTATCCTGCCGTCGAAACGGTGCACGAGGACAGTATCTGCACCAAGACCTTCATGCCGCCCCGTGGTGTGCCCAAACAGGCGTGCGAGAAGGCCCGCGAGACGGCCTGCCAGGTCATCTCGACCCTGACAGGGAGGGGTGTTTTCGCCGTGGAGATGTTCCTGCTCGACGACGGCTCCATCCTGGTCAACGAGGTTGCCCCGCGCCCGCACAACTCAGGCCATTACACCATCGAGGCCGTTCCCTATTTCTCCCAGTACAAAGCCCAGCTCTACGCCCTCCTGGACCTACCGCTGCCCGAGCGCCTGACCCCGCGCGTACCGTCAGCCATCATGATCAATATCCTGGGCGGCGCTGGGCCCAAGTCACACGAAAAGCTCGTCAACGCGGCGGCGAAGACCTTTGGCGACAGCATGGACGTGTATGTGCATCTCTACGGCAAAGCAAGCAAACCGGGGAGGAAGATTGGCCATATCACGACGACAGGCCAGTTTGGTGTCGTCGACCTGGAGCGCCACTCTGCGCCACTGATGGAACTCGCAGACGCCATTAGGCAGGAGCGTCTGAGTGCGGCGACTTCACAGCTGAGGCCGCAGCAGCCAGCGCCTGCCACTGCAGGAGGGCCGACGTCGCCCGGTGCTCTCGTCCTTGTGACCATGGGCTCCGACTCGGACCTGCCCGTCATGAAAGCGGGCCTGGCCGTGCTCGAGGAATTCGGTGTTCCCTTCGAGGTCAGGATCACTTCGGCTCACCGAACGCCGAACTTGATGCTCGACGTGGCCGCCGAGGCTGCCGGCCGTGGTATCAAGGTCGCCATTGCCGCGGCAGGTGGTGCAGCACACCTACCTGGCATGTTCGCGTCGCACTGCCCGATCCCCGTTATAGGGGTGCCTGTTAAGGCAACCCACTTGGACGGGATGGATAGTCTGCTCAGCATCGTACAGATGCCCAGGGGGGTTCCTGTTGCCACGGTGGGCATCAACAACTCGACCAATGCGGCCCTGCTGGCCATCAGGATAATCGGATCCTTCATACCCAAGTACCAGGACCACATGAGGAGGTATCAATTGGATATGGAGGATGCGGTGTTGGCAAAAGACAGGGATCTCCAAAACATCGGTTTCAAGGGCTATCTGAGTAAGATGGGCAAGTAGCAGAGTCATGTCTCATTGTCCCGTGCCCCCCTCCAGGCGTCGGTACCTGATCCCGTCATCTCACTTCTATCTGACTTGCCTGCACGCACGCTCTGTGCCGGCCCCACGGGCCACGCTTGGGTTTACGATGTGGCTATTTGGTAGTAGTAAGCTGTTTACATACAAAAATTAGTGGTAGTTTAAGCGTGGCTTAAAACTTGCTCCCTAACACTAGAAAAATACTAGGAAAAATAAAAGAATATATAACTTTATAGGAAAATAATTATATTTACTAGGTTTTAATCTTTTAGCATCTATGCAGATGTACGCTGTGGTGAGCTCCTGTTACTGACGTAGGCGTATCGTCGGTACTTAGATATGATGATGCTCAGAGATGCGGCACACCCTGTCGAGTCCCGCGTTAGCTGCTTTCACCAATGGTGATGTTCAGATAGGGTACGCACGAATGATTGCATCAGCAGATTGGCGATGCTAGAAGAAGAGTCAGCGATGCCGCCACAGGATAGAGAATATGTGACTGGAGAAGATGGATTGTACCTTAGAAAACCCTCGCCGAGAATGAACCCCTTGAAGTCCGGCCGGATCGAATCAGTATTTATTAGCCAGGAGACAAGGTGGGCAGGGAGGTGGCCATACCGATGCAAGGATGATCAAAGGCGTGTCTTCGCGACCCCTGTGAGTCTTCCAGTACCAGCAGAGAAGACCGCCGGCGGTCCGGGCCAGAGTAAAAGACCTATAATTGAGCCGAAGGTGAGCAAGGGTCGATTTGGGTTCTCGAGGGGCGAGAGGTGACCCAAAGTCATTCAAGATACTTACGGCACGTTGTACATTCCTGCGTGGAGACAGGCAGAATGTTAGTCGACGCGACATACCAAGATACCAACCCAATGAACAACTTACCGACAGCCACCGCCAGCCCTCCTGGCAGGTAAGCCGCCCGCGGGTTTCTCATCTTGATGGCGGTTATTACAGCAAACAGTCCAAAGGCAGCAGTTGCAAACTCGGTGGCCATGGGCGGCAGGCCCTTGCCTGCAGCAACCAGCCTTGCCGTGAAAATCCAGACGAGCGCGGTGGGGGCCTGAAAAAGATCGTTTGGGATGGTCTCGTAAATGTTCGTGTAGAGCTTGTAGATGAGCGCCGAAACCACAGCGCCGACGGTGGCCCCGATGACTTGCCCTAGGAACTGGGCCTTGGGAGCGGCGCCCAGGAGGTGGCCGGTTTTCAGATCCTGCATCAGATCTCCAGCTTGGAGGGCGCCCGACTCGGACTGCGAAGTGAGATTGCCAAATCATTTTTAGCACGTCATTCTGAAGGGGTGTGATAGGGGATGGAAGTCCAAAACGCACAACTGCACCAGCAACGAGATTGATGAGAATCCCCGCCTTGTTGGACCGTGGGATGACGAGGGCGAAGAACAGCTGCGCCAGCTTTGAAATGCCCGACACCGGGTTCAGGTCCGTGACGCCCATGGCCCTGACCGCAATGACGGATAGGGGAATAGCAACCAAGACGGCTGTCACGATGGCGTAGAGCGGCACGATATCCTGAAAGACATAGCGGATGGCGGCAACGCAGAAGACCATAGAGATGGGCAGCCCAATGAAGGCGAAGCGAGGGCTGATGTCCTGGTCCGGAGGGCAGTCGCGCGCTTGGTCGTCGGCGCTGTCGGAAGCAGCATCGTTCCCGTCCTGGTCCTCGGCTTGCGGCGCTGAGGATGAGCCCACTGGTGCGTAGACGCCGCGTTGTCCTGACGTCTCGTCATCGGCGGGTTTCCACCAGCGTAAACGACCCACGAGCGGCCGGACGACGGGCCACAGAGAGCTGGTGGCAACGAAGCCGAGGCTGACAATGGCGTCTGCCAGCATTATGGAGAGCGAAGTCCAGACGATCCAGCCCTTGGACCCATTTTCCCAGTCGTCAATCGAGCCAGGAGCCCAACCCTGATGTTTAGCCAGGGGCGAAAGGATGCCCCAGCCCACGATGGCACCGATGAGCATGTGGATAGTTGTGCTAGGGCCCATGATGATTCCCTGGCCAACATACGCGAGGCTTGGGTTGAGGGTCCAAAGCCAGGCTGCGGCTGCGGAGCCAAAGACGGGCAGGTTTCGGAGGACGGGGAGGAAATAGGTTGCTACGGTGGCGACGCCCGAGATGCAGAAGCAGATCAAGAGGAGACGCAGGTTGGCCTTCCACTCCTGACTCTGGGACGGAGTCGCTTCTTCGCTCGCATCATCGGTACCGGGCACGGCAAGGCCTTTCGGCTGACCCGCGAGGCTCGCAAAGCCGCCCGAGGAGTCTGGTCGGCCGTTTTCGGTTTTCCTGGGGGTTTGGCCATGCAAGACCCCGATGAGGACTGCCGTGCTAAAGCCGCTGGGGAACCTCAGGCGCTCCTTGATGACAACCTGACGCCGACTGAGGTCGTGGCAATCGCGTGTCGGGATCAGTCAGGGGCTGAGGCTACGAGGAATGGCGGGGAGAACATACAGCAAAACGGCAAAAACACAGCCAAAATAACATAGACCGAGAGACCAGACGATTGACTGCCATGTCGTCATCCTAAAAACAGGCAAATGAGGGTCAGTCGGCATCGATTCAGAGAGCAGGATGCGCAGCAGAGCTGGCGACGTACTTGAAGGGACCCATCTCTTCTGGGAGGAGCAGATAGTTCATGGCAGGGATCTTGTCGATGTCAGCAACTGTTACAGAGGTTTGGCGATAATAGTACTGACCACGCCAACGAACCCAGCTCCTAAGGGCACAATGCCGACGGATGCAGCGACGGTCTGAACAAGCACGTTTTCCACTGGAGTAAAGGGGAGCTTGAGATGTCGGGAGAGCGTCCTGAAGAAGCCGTAGCCCAGCAGCGAAGCCGGCATTGTCATGGTGCTGATCCAGCCTGTGGTTTCAACTGTTATCATCATGGCCGACGACAGCCTCCACATTTCACACTTAGAGGGGCGACAAGGGGAACCCGCACCAGTCTGCAGCCCAAAGTACATGTTGGAGAAGGCGAGGACGATCCCGATGACGATGCCAACGGCAACACCACGAAAGGTGAAGCTCTGGCCCTCGATCACGTCCTGGCCATGGTCCTCTGTGGCTCTGGGCTCGGCCGCGGGGGCGAGCAAGGCCGAGGAGGCGGTAGGGGAGCCTCTGGAACGCGTGCCTCTGTCTGGAGCCATTGGCTTTGAGGATTTGGGATTTGGGATATGATCAGACAGGTCGGGGGGAGAAAGGGCCAGAAGCGTCTTCCTCGCTGTCTCTGTTGTTTCTACTGTGATAAAGATGGAGGCTTTCTGGTTCACGAATGACTGATTCGAGGTCAACCGAACAAGCCGCGGTTGCAACGGCATTGAGCGCGTCCGTTCAGACATGGCTGGGCTAGCGCCATCCCACACACGGACCAGCTCAATTCTGAGGCCCCACTGCGCCGTATCAGCGCGCGATCTGCCTAATTTGGTAGCTGCTTCCTGGCTCTGTCAGCCAACCGTGGCTGCCAAAATCACAGGACGAGCCCATCGATCGCAGCGGCTGGTAACGACATTATTGGGCAGCCTCATCCACGAGAGGCATCAGCCTACTAAATGTCTACCTTTCCTTCGTGCCACTCCATGCTACATACGGTCATAAAAGGCCAGGGTTCTGCACGTTGTGGCTGTGGTGAATAAAATCCCACCGAGGCGTGGCGACAGCTCTCTGTCGCACCAACATGGCCGCCTGGACGATGCTTCTCGCATGCGCTGGTGGGTAGGGATGTCACATTAACACACCACTCCCTCGATGGCTCACGGCTAGGACTGGTATTTAAGCCTGCCAATCTCAAGCCGGGACGCGACTGTCCGGTTGTTCGCCTCCTCCCACATCCATCGCCTCCATCGAGAAGCTGGGCGATTTCAATCACGACGCCATCTGAACAGCCCGAGAACTCAGCTATCGGAACAATGGAAACGCTTCACGAGGAAGTCATCCAGCGAATCGTTCAATTCATCGCCGGCGAATGGCCCAACGCTCGTAGGATAGCCGCCTTGGCGACCTTGTCTGCAAAGTGGCAGCGCGCCGTTGAGCGCCGCACCTTTGAGCACATCAGGATCACCAACCACGATGACGACCTGGAGACGCTTGAGAGAGTTGTCATCACTGACCCTCGACGTCGGGCTTATCTACGTTTTCTGCACTTCTCCGTCAACCTGGACCTGCCTGCCACATCGACAGACAGCAGAAGTGGCAGCCAAGAGATGCAGGCGAATGTACGCTTCACTGAGGGTTTAGCCAAACTTTTTGGCGCATTGGTATTGGCAAACCGAGTTGATGATGGCACTGCCGGGCCAAGCAATGCGGACGATCGGTCCAAAGGGATCACGCTCCAGATCGTGCCACTCCTATCGCGTGTCGAGACCAAGAAAAAGCAAAAGAACCTGCGCCAGTGTGTCCGGATCTTGGATGATGTCGACACCAGCACTTCAACGGCGCAGCATCAAGCACTGTCGCCCGTGACGTGTATTTCTCACCTGGTGTTGGGGCTTTCTATGGAAAGGGGGCGTTTGGCCATGCGGACGGCGCTGGATCTGGCGAAATGGTTGCCCGGCTTGAGCCAGCTGGATATGACTGCTATACTGGAGGTACCATCGGATGCCCAACCAAACCTAGCTCAGCACGTCGACGATAGGCAGGAACTTGCCAGGGCTCTCAAGAGGGCCGCGAGCTCTCCGTCATCACTGAGAGAGGCGTTGTTCTCGATCGAGGAGCAGGATCCGTGGTCTGTGCAAATGCATCCACGGTTCGTCTTCCCAGATCTGACCAGGACCGCGTCGGACGCCACGGTTGGTCCTGCAGACCAGGGAGCGGAGCTCAAAGCAGACCCCCTTGGCGCGGCGCTCCGAACGTGGTCCAACAACCTTGTTACATTGGATCTCTGTGGTGTCTTCGACGGCTCACTATTCTGGCCTGCCGGACAAGGAACAACAGTCAGCACCAAGTCGTCCGCCCTTCCCTCCTGGCCAAACCTCAAGAACATCAGCGTCAAGTTAGGGACGTCCACGCCTACAGGGGGCTGGTACTTCATCCCCAGACCCGACCCCGAGAGCGACGGCCACCGTTGTGTGCCCAACGACGACGCACTCCAGCTGCTCTTCGCGAGCTGGTCCCGAGCGCTCGGGCGAATGCCGGTCCTAGAGAACGCGGTGCTCTACTTCGAGCTGATATTCGAGATGGATGGAGCGCAGCTGGGGGCGGGAGAGGACAGCACGGCCTTTGGCCGCTGGCTAGTCGCGTTCCAGGCGCCCAATGCGATACCCAGGCCCGGAGTCGCGATGCAGTGGGCGCGGACACTTACCCAAGAGGAATCACAGCGGGCGAGGCTTGTTTTCCAGTGCGTCTCGGGGTGGAGGCCCCAGCGGGATACGATGGAGAGACTGTGTTCCATCTCGGAGGAAACACCCGTCTTCTTGGAGGTGGACTTGTTGGATAACGTCAGCGCCGTCGATGCTTGAGCCGGACGGTCAAGATCCCGCCAGCTCACAGGCCTAAATAATAAAGCAGGGGCTACACGCCTGCGCGGTTTCGACAATAATTTATCCCCATCAACTTGAAAATCCATCAAAGACTCTACAATCAATAGACACAAGAACTTCCTGGTTGACAAGACGGTACAGGCGCGCCAAGATCACTCGTCAATCTCACCAAGGTGTCTCCCTCCATGAGCAGGCATTCATCCAAGAAAGCGGCTGGCCCCCTAAAAGGGAGGCACCCATTGCCCCTGAGCATTCCACTCCTGTTGCATCCTATCAAGCTTTGCGATAAACCTTGCGTTGGCCTGTATCAGCGGCGAGTTGCCCCCCTGCTGGGCCTGCTGTCTCTGGGCAGGGCTGGCGTGCCTGGTCATCAACTCCCCGAGCCAGGTGCTGATGTGAGTCTCGGCCTTGGTCCGCGCCTGCACGGCCCGGTCGTGCATGAAGGTGTCCCACAGGCCCGACAGCCCCTGCTGCTGCCAGGCGCGGTAGCCCGGCCGGACGAGGCCGGCGACGACGTTGGTGTCGAGGTTGTTCAGTCGGTCCCGCACCCGGTTCTTCTCCAGCAGGAGCGTGTTGCTGACAATGGGGTCTCGCATGTACCGCAGCGCCATCATGCAGTCCTTGAGGTTCTGGAACGCCTTCTGGCGCGTGTTGGCGTTGTCGATGTAGCGCCTCATGACGCTGTCGCGCCGGATGGCGCCCTGACCCCACATGGCGCCCTTGCAGTTGTTGACGCCCTTGTCGACGAGCATGAACTCGTCCTTGGTCGCGGCGTTGTCGGTGCTCGGCCACTCGGCCGCCACCAGGTCGATCGGGTCCCTCCCGCCCACCTGGTTGCGCGCGGCCACCGACAGCTGGTACCAGTAACCCTTGAGGTAGTTGCAGAAGCCGACGGTGCCAGTCTGCGCCGTCTGCGGGTTGGGGAAGTTGTTGCCCGTCCGCTGCGTCTGACGCACCCACTCGAAGAAGTCGCCCAGGAGCTGCATCTCCAGCACATGCTCGGTCTGGTACTGCCTCGTGTTCTGGATCGGCGCGTTGATGGTGGTGAAGGTGAAGTCGAGGCAGTTGCCAGGGTTCGCATATCCGTACTTGACGCATGTCGGGCAGTCGTTCTGCAGCGTGCTCGAGGTGTGGTATGCGGGCGGCCTGTAGACCACCACCCCGGCCCCGCTGCAGAACGACTTGGGCGTGGGAGTCTTCCTGTCCCGCTTGACCAGCGACAGCCGGTCCGACGCCATCTCGTCGTCCTCCCACCCAGCCGTCTCGCACTCGGTTGCGGGGTTGTCGTCGAGCTCGTCGTCGTCTAGCGGGCACAGGAGGTCCTGGAGCCCAACGTGGAACACGGGCCCGAAGGGCTCGGCGCGCTTCGACAGCACGCCCGGCTCGCGCGGGAGCAGGCCCCGCACCTGTCCCGATACGGGCGACATGCCGGCGTGGCTTGTGTTGCTCTCCCGAGGCCAGTGGCGGCCGCCAGCGCCGATGCCCCGGCGCTTGATGGGATCGCCCGACCTGAGGTCCGGGCATGTGCCGCCGTCGATCAGGGTCTTGGGCTTCGGCCCGGGGAGGTCGTACTTGGCGCCTCGCCACCCAAAGATGCTGGGCGAGACCACCTCGGCGTACAGGTCGGCGCCGACCTCCATGCCGTACGTGAAGGGGCAGTCGACCTCGGTGCTCTTGCCCACCCCCATCTTGACACCGATCCAGCCGTCGGCCACGACCGACGCCCTGGCGTCGTCGAGATTCCACCGCTCGGCAAAGGTGATGCCGAAGTCGACCGAGGCGATCAGGTGGGCCTTGGCGTCGCCCTGGGCCAGGATGCCCGCGTACACCTTTGGCTTCTGCAGGCCCTCCCAGGACCCCGTGTCGTCGTAGTCGGCCGTGTCGACCTCCTTGGGGTCGTGGTCGCCGTCGGGCGAGGGGAGGGTGTGGCGCACCTCCCAGGACGCGATGTCCATGGTGGTCTCGAACTCGGCCGACACCGTCAGGCCCACGTCGACCTGCCCGTAGAGGTTGAGCTGCGGGCCGATGGTCCCGATGCCCGAGATGCTGAACGAGGCCCCCGGGAAGGGTATGTTGGCCAGGCGGGCTTTTTTTCTGTAGCTAACGGACGCGAGCGCCTCGAGCCGCAGGACGGCCGAGATGTGGCCCTCGTTGAAGAAGGTCAGGTAGGAGCCTGTCACGTCGAGCCCGCCGCTGGTGATGACGGCCGTGAGCGTCATGCCGAAGCTGGTTGAGACGTCGACTGACGCCGTCGCCGTCGCCCGGATAAAAGCGTCGAACTCGAGCGGCGTGCCCTTGCCGCACTCGACCGAGTCGTCGAGGATCTTGAGGATGTAGTCCTCCTTGATCTCGTGCCGGAACTCGCGGCTGATCTTAGGCTGTAACATCCGCGACAGCCAGGCCAGGACGTCGCTCCCGAACCAGCGCTTGTGCAGCTCGTCCCTCGACAGCGCGCCGGCGCCGGCGCCGCCACCGCTGCCCGCCCCGTGGAAGTCGTCGCGCCACTCGTCCTGCAGCCAGCGCCGGTGGTTGCCGCGGTACTCCCCGTCCGACAACTGGCGCTTGGCGCTGCGCTTAGACACGGCCGCGGCCACAACCTCGTCCCAGTAGTTCTCCTGGTTGCTAAAGTCGATGCGCAGTTGCGTGTCCCCGAGGTCGCGCGGCACGCGGCTGAAGTCGTAGTCGAAGGTCAGGTCGTACACGACGGGCACGTGGCCCAGCGCCCTCTTCACCAGCCGCTTGGGCAGCGACTGGTCGGCGGCCGGGGCCATGCTCACGGCGACGGCGTACTTGCCGGGCCCGCACCGCGGCGGCATCTCGAGGATCGTCCCCGGGACGCCGTGCCCGAGCCCGATCTTGTGGCAGTTGCTGCCCTCCGAGACGTCCACGCACGCCATCCTGACCGTCTGGGGGGCCTCGCTGTGCAGGTCCGTCTCGTGGCAGTTGAAGACGTCCCAGTGGCTGCCGTCGCGCTTGTCTAGCGAGATCTGGATCTCGTCGGGCGAGGCCATGACGTAAAAGTTGAAGGCCGCGTCGCCGGGGTCGTCGCCGTCGTCGTGCGTCTTGGACGTGCCCGTGCCCCACGTGTCGTCGATGTTGAGGTCGAACTCGGTGTCGACGTCGTCACCCGTGGGCGGGTTCGCAAACAAGTTCTGTAGCGGGACCGGCAGGAAGGCCGACTTGCCGTTCTTGGGCTTGCAGCAGAAGACGCGGGTCCGCTCCAGCCGGGGGGCGCAGCTCTCCCCGAGGCCGTAGGGGCTGTCGGTCAGCTGGACCGAGCGCGCGTCGACGGGGCAGTGGTTGTCGAAGCACGTGTCGGACGAGTCGACGTCGCCGTACCACTGGCAGTCCTCCCAGTTCTCGGCGTCGTCCTTGGGGCAGCAGTAGTACTTGTTGAGCTCCATGTCGAGGATCTCGAGCACCGCGTAGAGAGGGGTGCCGATGACGCCGACGAGGGGCACGGCGCGCCCGAAGACCTTGACGATGGCGCCCACGACGTCGGCGAGGGTGGAGAGGAAGGTCCCCGAAAAGGTCATGGGCACGTCGTCGCCGTTGCACTTCTGGCCTACACCGGCCCAGTAGCACTGAGGAAGCAAAGCGGCACGGTTAGGACTCGATAGGAACGGGGGTACCTGGATCCACCCTGCCACACGTCCCATCATCATACCTTGTTCTCCTGCCCCAGCGGGCTCTTGCAGCAGTAGGCCTTGTTCCCGTCGAAGCAGTACTGGCTGTGGTCCCCCCAGCGGTTCAGCTGCATCGTCACCTCGTCGTCGTGGCAGTGGCCGTTGCAAAAGGTGGCGACCGTGTCGGAGCCGCCCCTCCACGTGCAGTCCTTCGGGTTGGGCGCGCCCTGGATCGGGCAGCACAGCTGGCTGTCGTCCTCGGTGGCCTGGAACTTCCAGTCGCTGCTGCCGCACGGCTGCGTGGTGACTTTGACGAAGCCGGCCTTGCACTTGCCGCCGCAGCTGGTCACGTAGCAGCTCGGCACCGTCGCGTCGGCCCAGTACGCGGCGTTCCCCCCGGCCTTTTGGAACTGCTTGAGGGTCTTGGGCTTGAGCAGGGCCGAGAGGGCCTCCAGCTCGTCCGTGTCTTGGTCCACCTGTGCGTTTGTGGGATGGATTGGATCAGCAGTGAGTCCCAAGTGCATCTTGGGGAAGTTTTCCATATCACAAGCCAAAGGTAGGTAGGTAGGTAGGTAGGTAGCTTACGGCCCATATCAGCATCCCCCCGAGCCCAATCTCGTTGGCCCACTTGATTTTGGCCTGGAAGGTCTCCTCGTCGTCGTACGAGATCCACTGGTCCCCGTTCCAGGTGATGTACTTGACCGCCTCCTCCTTGAGGTGGTACGGCTTCAGCTTGTTGTCCTTGATCACCTGCTGGATCTCGCGGTACGTCAGCGTGCCCGAGTTCTTGCTGCAGGGCCCCGGGGCGGCCCCGCCCTTGAACTTGCAGCCGGGCTTGTAGCACGAAGGGTCCGAGAGCTGGAAGCTGCGCCCGTAGAAGCCGAAGCCGAGGTTCAGCTTGCTCGGGGGGACGTCGTTCCGCCAGAACAGCTCGAACGCCATCTTGATCTCTGTGAGGTTGGTGTGGGCCAGGACGTTGTTCCCGATGGGGTTCTCCCTGTCCCAGATACCGTGGAGGCTAGAGCAGAAAGGGGGCTTTTGTCAGTTGCCGAACGGTGGCTGGTATACTCGTCGGTGGGGAAAACTCACTCGTAGCCTAGTCGGTACACGAACAGATCGGGGTTAGTCAACAAAAGCTAGGCAGCGAGGACATCAATACAAAACAGGTAAGCCTACTCATAACGTTGACGAAGTCGACATAATCGACGACTTTGAGATCAAAATGCCTCAGGTACCAATAACTGGTGGGAGCCGTGAAGGACACAACATAGTGTCTTGTCTGCTTTTTGTTGTAGTCGTTTAGCTCTTTCAGGAAGGTTACAAAGTTCTTCCCGTCATCTGGCTTTCCGCCGCGGTCGTCTGCGCCAGGATATTCCTATCGAGGATATTCGACATGGGTGGTCAGCTACAAGGTACAGCCTACACAAGGGCGACAACGGCAGCACGAACCCAGTCAAAGTCAACGCCATCAAAGGCAAACTTGCGCATAAAGGCAAACAAGTTCTCGATGAACTTGCCCCGGTTCTCCTTGCTGCCGACGAGGTCGCTGAACACCGTCTGGAACGGGCCGGGGTCGTTGAAGGTCCATCCGCCGAGCGCCACGACGGTCTGCAGGCCCGAGTTGCGCTTCTTGACCTCGGTGAACTTGGTAAAGAGCTCCGGGTCCAGATCGTCCATGGGCGCGATGTTGAAATCGCCGGGCGTGATAAAGGCAAAGGAGAAGTAGAGATGGGTGAAGGCGCCGACGGGGATCTTGTTGAAGTCCTGTAATGATGTGGTACCGGATTAGCACACAGGGACAGGCGAGGGTTCGAGCTCTACTCTATTGCCGGCTTGGTGGGCTCGACTGACCATGTCCTGGCATTTTCTATCGTGCGCCCATCCTTCATAGTACCCAATGACCCTCTTCTGTATGTCGCTTGATGAGCCCTTGGGGGTGGGCTTGTCGCAGTTGCTCTGGCAGCCTTTGCCGCAAAAGTCCGCCGCGGTGCCGCAGAATCCGTACTATGGACGTTGGTTTGTCAGTCAGTCAGTAAGGGGCAGAGATAAAGCGCGTCAAAGAGGATTACATGTACCCTATGAGAAACAGGCTCTGCGTTAGTCTTTGGACCGCAACGGTTAGAAAGCCGCAAATGTTGAGCAGACTCACTCTGAGCAGCAGACGTTAAGGGGGCATTTCTTGCCAGGCGGGTCAGAATTTTCGCCGCACTCGGCCTTGGCATTGCAGTTTGACCAGCACACATCGTTTGGACTCTGGCCGTTCGTCCCGCAGTACTTTTCCCCGTAGTTGCAGTACAGCGTTGCCTTGGGGCAGCAGGCTTCTGAGATGTGCAGCCGTGTAAGTGGGCGTCCTGTCATGCCAGGCGAACTGGGGCTGCGGTAAAGCGAGTCCTTACTGTTCCTGCATGGCCTTTCCGGTCCACACGAGTAGTCATCATCGTTGACAGACTGCCTTGCCATTAGAGTCGTCAGGCTCATGCTGGCTTCTGACGACTCTTCCTTGGCAAAGGGACAGACGGGGAGTTGATACTCCTCACGCTTCTTGGCGCCGTAGTCAAGGACGCTGGCAAGCGGTTCTCGGTCAGTGTTCCAGATACAGCTTGCTTTGTTAGGCCAACCAAAGACGGCTCCTACTCACGATGTCTCTGCTCGGCAGGTTGCAGGTGCCTTCCCATGTTTCTGGGTATGAGGATCTCCATATCGTTCTCCCGGTATGTGGGGTAGAGCTATGACCGCATGTGCAAGCAGGACTAGCGCAAGTAGGGCAAAAATGCGCCTACGCATGTCGGCCGAGCTGTATGCCCTCCAGCCGGATATAGGAGAGCTCATGGCTGAGGCAGAACAGCCGAGTGTCCCTTGAGTCCCTGGGTGATGCCCCTGGGACCAGGAACGACTGAGCTGTCTCTGGTCAGGTCTGGGGAGGTAGACAAATAAGATAACCTTTGTTTGATCCCCAAAGTGCTTCCGGTGGGCGCACCATTATTATCGACTCTGTATTCGTGCTATCAAATCACATGGCTGTTATAGGGAGCATCTTGCCAAACAGCCAGACGCACATCCATGCCTTTCTGCACCGCCCTTCTGTCCCCCCCACCTCGGTGATAACTATCTCATCAGCGGAGATATGTGCCCTCATCTAGGAAGAATCCGACGATGCTACCCTCTCGAGGGCATCGTTGCCTGAGAATGGATGTGATGATATTCCACAGTCGCAACATGGTTACATTGCCCCTGAGCCGCCCTTTCCCGCCACTATTGATTCGATAGCTTGGGTCGAGGCCTTTACCCCGCGCAAGCTATCTCGGCTCTATATCTATGTCTCTCACATCAGCCACCAACAGTCGTAGCCTTGTGACTTCTGAGCTACGACGGTCCAATCCAATAATGCAACCACGGCAGATATCACTCTGCCCATTCCGGGGTGACACGACATGGGCTTATTCCCGTTAAGCAGCCATCAGCCGGACCGCTGAGGCATGCTGCACACTCCGGCCCTTCGCCAAGGCCCGTGCCGAAATTTCCGCTCACCTCCACGAGAACTTCTTATCACCGGCTAGTATAAGAAGTGGGAGGGGCCGTAAGCGCCAGTGTGATAGTGCCGTGATTCGTGGAGGCGATGTGTTTAAGCCACCACACCATCTTTATTCCTGGTCAGAGCTGTGCCTCTTGCGAATACTACACTCCGCAACCCCCACAAACCGCAAGCGCGGGTGATAAGAAGGCTTGTTACCGACCACTCATGCGCGAAATAGGAGCTTGTTTCATCCTCGGTCATACTTGGCCGCGATGTGATACAGCGTGAGGCTAGCACAATCGCTGGTGTCTGGGCCCGATAATCAGTTCGAGCTCCTGGGTAGGTGAGGGGAATATTGGACGTGATGTGATTGATGATCTTAGACGCGGGGGATAGCAACCTCGTGGTCAGCAAGAATCCAATACTGCCACCCTCCTACACCAGGTAGGAGCACATATAATGAGACACGGCTATATGGCTTGCAACCGATGATGGCATCCTTCTCCTAGTCATCAAAACGATCGGCTAAAGGTAGGTAATGAGAGAAAACGCAACCTCTTTCTAGATTTGGCGTGTCGATCCCCCGCTTATACGCGGGCTCTCTTGGTGTTCTCTCTGGTCGTTGAAATTCGGACGAAGTCTGTCTGTCGGCCAAGGGTCTTTGAGTTCCCTTCTCAACCACTGTCGGCACAGGTCAGGCTCCTCGTCTGTATTCTTGTCTGCGTCTCAACGGTGACTAGCACTCCCGCTTCAGGCAGCCCTATCTCTTGAGGCCATGCTACCACGGACAACGGCGAGGGCGGCAAAATGCCTGCACTTCATTGCCTCGCAACTGCTCATCTTGTCCATACTTTCAGGCTCGATGGCCTGGCAGATTGTGCCCAACAGAACCTTGCCATCGTATCTCTCCCAGGGATGCGCAGCGGCTCTATCACAGGAGGTCTCCACGAGCGTCTGCAACCCCATGGCAAACAGGCTGCTCAAGGGGTACTTTTACGCTGAAAGCACTCTCAACCGGACGTGCACAGATGGCTGCGCCGACTTCCTGGCTCAGTACGAAAGCTCGGTCGTCAGCAGCTGCCGTGACGAGGAGTGGCAAGACTACTTCAACGCGGCCGAAAAGGACTCGGAGCCCGAGGCCGTCCAGGTGCGCGTCATCCCGAACCTGCTCCGCCACCTCTTCGCCCTCACATGCCTCAGGGACTCGGGGCGCTTCTGCAACGTCGTCATCGGCAACGCCGCCATGGCCGCGGACCCGGGGAGCACGCACTTTGGCTGGGCGCCCCCGCCGGGCAGCGGGGCCGACATACCGTCGAGCTGCGACCTGTGCTTCGTCAAGCGGCTGCGCATGGAGGCCGGGTCGCCCTACTACGAGGGCCCGCGCCTCTCGTCCATGAGCCTGTACCAGTCCCTCACGTCGAGCTGCGGCGTGGCCGACATGCCCCTGACGACCTCGACGCTCGACTTCCCGACGCCGACGGGCGCGCAGCCAACGCCCACCTGCGCGGGGAGCACCTACGCGGTGCAGGCGGGGGACACGTGCCTCTCCATCTCCCAGTCGCAGTCCATCGGCACCGGATGGCTCGTCGACGACAACAACCTGGGGGCTTGGTGCTCCGACTTCCCCGCCCCCGGGACCAGCCTCTGCATCGCCAACAAGTGCCAGGTGTACACGCTGCAGCCCAACGAGACCAGCTGCGCCGCGATAGCCCGCAGGTCAAACATCACCGAGGCCCAGCTGAAGGCGTGGAACCCCATCATCGACCTCGGCTGCTACAACCTCCCAAAAATGAACGGGACGGCGCTGTGCGTCTCGGCGCCCGGGCGGCAGTACGTGCCGCCCGCCAACGCCACCATCACGGGCAGCCCGGGGACGGGGGCCACGCCGGTGCCGGTGCCTGGCGACGTCGCCGAGGGCACGACGACGCGCTGCGCGCGCTACCACTACGTGCTGCCGGACGAGTACTGCAACCTCCTGAGCCTCAAGTACGGCATCTCCATCCCCGACTTCATCACGCTGAACCCGGCCGTCAACGAGAACTGCACCAACCTCTTTGCCAAGGAGAGCTACTGCGTCCAGCCCGTGGGGGACATCAACACGTACCCGGGGCGGCCGGGCCACTCGTCCACGCGGACGGGCACGGCCACGGTGGACCCGGGCCCCTCGACGGCGTTCACGCTGCTGCCGGACTCGACCATGGTGCCGTACGAGCGCAACGACACGCGCTCGCCGCTCGCCGACGGCACGCGGGACGACTGCGCCCACTACCTCGAGGGCGCCTGGTTCACCAACGTCACGTCGGGCGGGTCCCTGGGCAGCGTCTGCGCCCTGGCCGCGAGCAACTACTTTGCCGAGCTCGAGGCGCTGGGGCTCTGGAACCCTAGCCTGGGCAACACGTCGGACCCCGGGTGCAGGTTCGAGGTCGGCAAGAGGTACTGCGCGCAGCTGTACTGGGACGCCAACGGCGCTCAGCCGGTGCCCGACGGGCCTCTGTATGAGTATGAACTTCGGGTGCGTTCTTTGGCTCTCCTTGATTGCCCCCAAATTCAGATCGCTCATCCAGAAACGCGTATGCTGACCCAACCTTTGCAAATGATAGGAAGGCTACATCAAAGGCTGCACACGGTTCAGCGATGTCCCCCTTGGCTGGGAATGCAGTGACATCTATGACTACTACGGCATAACAAAGGAGCAGTTTTACCAGTATAACCCTGCCGTAGGCTCGGACTGCAACAATCTCTGGCCAAGTAAGTCCTGCTTGGCGTAAAGTGATACGAACACTGCTGATAGCATCATCAACCACGTCCCGCAGACTACGCATACTGCACATCCACCAACCCGAACCCAGACGAAGGGGGCGGCGGGGGAGACACCACGACGATCAGCTCGACCACCACCACCACCACCGGCCCCGGCTCGACGCCGACCAAGGCGCCCGGGCAGACGCAGGACGGCCAAGCGGCCAACTGCAACAAGTGGGAGATGGCGCAGTCCGGGGACAGCTGCTGGGCCATCGCGGACAGGACCGGGATCCCGCTGACGGACCTGTACGCGTGGAACACGGTCCTCGGGGCGGACGGGGCCGCGTGCGGCACCATGATCTGGCCCGAGTACTGGTACTGCGTCGGGGTCTCGGCCGGAGTTCCCGCGCCCACCACCACAACCACCACGACGTCCCCGACGACCACGTCGACGTCGGCGAGACCCACGCCGACGGGGGCGCCGGGCCAGACGCAGGGCGGGCAGGCGGCCAACTGCAACAAGTGGGTGATGGCCCAGGCCGGGGACGGCTGCTGGGCCATCGCGGACAGGTCGGGGATCCAGCTCGCCGACTTTTACCTGTGGAACACGGTGCTGGGCAAGGACGGGAGCGAGTGCGGGACCATGATCTGGCCGGAATATTGGTATTGCGTTGGGGTTTCACCATCGAGGTAGACGATGAGGACCTTTCTTTTTTTTTTTTTTTTTTGTGTTGAAGTGGCCATGTCTCGGCAAACGGCAGGCACTGGAGGCAGGTGGTGATTACCGGATGCTGCTGGATGTAGCCGAGACTGAAGTTAGGGAGGTAAAGTAAGTACCTCATAAAGGGTTTAACTGCGGTGCCACCAACTTTGAACCGTATGGGTAGGAGCTCGTCGAGAGAAGCTATTGAGAGCCCACCCATGCAAGGTCCAGCTAGGGCTCAACACGCTGTAGTACAGCATCGAGGTCGGCCCAAATTTAATTATCATGTACCTGAGGTACCACCCCAAAATGGCGGCTTTCTGTTGAGCCCTGAAAACCTAGAAAGGCGATGTCGATCAGCATCAGGAAACCGAAATCCCCCGGCCATCAGCTAGGCCACTTCTCAGCTCGTCTTATCATGGATCGGCCAGCGCGTATCCACAAGAGCGAGCATCAAGCCGGGCGTGTTTGATAAAGCGTGCAATTCGCGCACACGTGGTTGCTCGCTGATACCGTTATAGGTGCTATCAGATAGGAATTTGTAATTAGGAAAAGGCAACTCGGCCCTACTTTCCGAGATTCAGCCAGATTCGAAGCCAGTCATCATAAAAACTCGACGTGGGAGCCGAAACTGGAGGACGCAAGACAGACCCGGCATAGATCTGCCATGCCGAGCGAGAAACAAGACAGACGCCAAAATAGGACAGGGCGGAGAAATATCAGAGGAGAACGCCCGAGGGTATCACGGCAGATGTCATGGATTACACGGCAGTAACGCACAGGCTGACCTGGACATGATGAGCTTGACTTGGTGACCAAAGGCCCGTGCCCGTGTCTGCGGGCGGATCATGGTGGCACTCCAGACAAGAGGCTCGCAAACTAGCGGCAGCTCCGACTGGCGGGGGATGCACATGCGGGCGCGGCTTGTCTCGGCGAGTAGATGGCTACCTGCCTACTTGGTCACGATTCTGCGGTGAAGAGTGAGAGAGGCACGGGGGAGAAAGAGAGGGGCATGTTGGTGACATGTACAACGCGCGCCGGACATGCTGAATTCGAGGGGAGCTCGACAAAGCCGCCGTCACTCGTGGGTCTTGGCACGCCCTCGAGCACCGACAGGTCCGCGCTGCCCCGGGGGCCCTATTGCCTATTGGCGGGCCACCCGAGCCAAACCCACCCCCCCTGGTAAGAGAGATGCGTCTGGCCTGCAGCCCTTGACCGGACCTGTTCTTTTCATTCTCCCTCCCGCTTAACTAGCGAGCATCCCTCAGCTTAGGACGTGAGGAATTTATCAGCCCGGGGGTCCGGAGGCAAAAAAATTATAAAAAAATATATATATATACTGGCCGGCTTGGCTTGGCTGGCACGCTTGGCTCCCTTTTGCTTTGGGGAGGTATGTTTTTTGCTAATTTGGCAAAAAGCTGCAGAGCAGAGGGAACGAAGAGGCTAGAACCCCGGAACCGGAGAAGCCGCACGGGCCAGCACCTTTTGACTTGCTGACGCTGACCGAGCGAACCACAGCCGGCCAAGGTGCCGACAGGTCAGCCTAGTGCCTAGATATTGAGGCGACCTGCATTGCATACGTGTATGTACATAGGTAGGCGCCGTCTAGTCCGCCCGCCCTGAGCGCTCCGGGGAAGGGACAGGAAACGGCACAGGGCACGCCCCTGAAACCCTGGGATGTGTTTTGCGTTTTACGTTTTGCAGGAAGTTGAGCAAGTCTGTAGATGGGTTTACTGGTATTAGTGACGGCTTGTTTTGGGCTTGTCTTCACTGCAGCCTAGCAACCACAGACATGTCACAGTTCAGGGGACATGTTTAACACCATGCCACACCTCGATGCCAGATCCAGCTGGGGATGCCTGGAAACGATTGAGGATTTTATGGAAACAAAGGCGGTTGCCCAGCAGGCTCGCAACACCCACCTCAGGACGACGGCAGCGGACTTTGTCCCAGCTTGGCACGGAGTGGGGCGGCATCTATCTACATGTTGGGCTATTCGCTATTCGCTCTCACACTCGACCATTTCTGGATTCGACGTGATTGCCGCTGGCAGGGCAGCACAAACCCGGCGGTCTGGTGGCCAGGAGACGCTCCCGCTCCACAGTGCCGCAGCTCCAGCTGGATTGAAACGATTACCTAGGGATCGAGTCCATCGATCCACGCCGTAGCTCCATAGCATTGAATTTCAATTAGGTGATCCAGCTGCAATCCGCGGTTGGCAGGCTGATATCCAATGCACATGCATGCATGCGGTAAGCCCACCTCGTCGAGGGCCAGTAAATATTGATGGTACCAGGATTCGACTTTTGGCGGCTGTGCCGGTTTTCCACCACCGACAGTCTACTCGAGGTACATTCCATTTTAGGTACCTGCCTCCTCAAGAGACCAGAACAACCAGACATCGAGTCGAGGTAACGGCAATATCGCCGCCATTGACGCACATCAATCTGACATGGTCCTACCGAGACCTCGGACCCGGACAGCGCGGCATACTGGGGGTTGCACCTGCTGCTAAGGACATTGAAACCCGCTGTGTTGGTACATGTCAAGTACTAGCAGCATCAAAATCGCTGGAATTGGAGCACGCTAGCGTTGAGCGGCCGCCTAGAGAGGAGCCCAATCAGCGTGTTCTCCTCCCTGTGTCCAGCACCTGCCCGCAGGCCTGATTCCTGATTGAGAGCTAACAATTGATCCATTTATTCCAATTAATCCATTGATTCCAATTGCCCATCAGTGATTGATCCCTCCCGTTCCTCAATTCCTAGTGCTGTTGTCAATCGAATCAGACCAAACAAAGGCCACACTGTGCGTGCGGCCCGCCGCGTTTGCATCTGCCTGCCCCACAGTTGATCTTGTCGTGCGTGCCAGCGACCAGTTTCCCAGTGCCATCAATCCGATCCCCACCGGCGATCGTGGGCTCTTCCCGTGCTGTGTCAGGCGCCCCAGCCGCAGCCAGACTTGAATCACGGCCGCGCGCACCGTCTCCAGGCTGTCAACCACCCGCTGGAGTGAGCTCACAACTTCCCCTCCATCTGCCCTTCACCTCACCTGCATCGTCCACGCTCACCTCAATCCCTCCAAACCACCCGCCCAGCCATTCCCGCATCGATACCCAGCAACTCTAAGCCCAGCCTTCCAGGTTCCTCGTCGCCGACTGCTCTCGTCGACTCCGTCTCGCCTCCATCTGACGGCGAGCCGGCACAGCGTCCCCGCACGCGCCCTGCGCTGCTCCCATCCCCCTCCCGGTGAAGCGGGCCACAGCCATCCGACTTGACCAGGCGGCCGGCCTTGACGACGCCGAGAGGCCTGGCATTTGTCTCCTGGGATGACGATCCGCCGAGCCTCTTCCTCGACTTCGTCCGCGCTCCGACAGCCCAGCATGACGGGCGCTGTCGACCACTCTGCCGCCACCGCCATCACGGCCTCGGGCGGCGGCGGCTCAGGCAACTTTGATCTGCTGAGGCGGGCAACTCAGGCCATGATGTCAAAGTAAGTGCCTATTGCTTAACTTGTTCACCTTCCTGTCCCACCTTCACCCTCGTTATCCTTTTCACTTCTTTTTTTTTTTTTTTTCTTCCCTTCCGTCATCGTTGGCGTAATATTCCTTTTACCTTTTACACTTCACCTTTGGCCAAGCACATGCCGTCCACGCGAACACGCAAGTGCCCCCTTCCTTGGGCTTCTTCAGGCTTCTAGAAGGCCGGCATGCCGTATTGCAAAACCCGTCCCAACCCATGCTGCCGAACAAGGTGTGCTGTGGGAGGGGTGTGCACCAGACAAGGTTCGGACAAACACGGCTCTGGACTCGGGTTGCAGATGCCAGGCCTCGTGCCAAACCTGGGGGCTCGCCTTGGCATACCCGACTCCTCCACTCACGAATGCCCAAAAGCGACGCACATGACGACGTCCCTGGAGTGTCCTGGGCGTGTCATGTGTGTGAACTGCTGCCAGGGTTCGACGAGGTTACCAGTGACTGAGTTTACTCAACTTGGAAACCATCCTCTATTGGAGTCGAGTCTAAGCCGCCTGCCCCACGCCCCATCCCTTCTCCAAACCCTCTCTTGCTGCCATCCTTTACCACAACAGCCAAACGTTAGGGTGGCGCGAGAGCCTTCGGGAGGCGGTCTTGCTTGCTTGTCGGCGGGATGGCAGGGGCAAGTGCCTCCGCTTGGAGGAAGAGGAAACAGGAAAAGTCAAAACGAGGCATATCGTCATCACTCCCACCACCACATCCGCCAGCCCCATCCATCATCCACCTCGGTTGAGTCAGCCTAGCTCGGCTGGGCCTGAGTAGTCCTGTCGGTGTTTGCGACAGCACAGCAGCCACAAGACACACGAGCTGGGCCTCGACTTCAAGACACCCCCGGTCTACCGGTCGGGCCGTCCCCTCCAGGGTGCAGCGCCTGCTTCGCCTTGTTGCACCGTTGTACCCCTGTCTCGCGGGCCCATGGGCCGCCCACGGTTGTTTTGGTCAGTGAGCTGCCGGCACATGTTTTGCAACAGTCAACCGCAGGCTCGCAGAAGGAGAACATGAAGACACGGCGAGGTATAGGGAGAGCAACTGATTGGCTGCACTTCACTCTTCACTCTTCGAGACGCGGCCCTTGTGCAGACCCTATCTACGCCTCCCGACCTGGGCGAGGTACACTCAGGCTGCAGCATCCAAAGTGGCTGGCTGGCTGGCTCCCCAGACGAAGGTCCCTTCGGTCTGACTCGCTGGGCTTGGGCGCTGGACAGCGGGCAAAGCCTCAATCCAGCTTTGTCGGGTGCGCCAGCTATTTTCGTTGGGTAGCGGCGGCCCCAGTTTGGCTGGGCAGTGTCGGCACCCGCCAGGCGTCAATCGTGGCCCAAAATACCCCGAGCCCCTGGTCTTGCTCCTCCCATCCTTCCCATCCAAGACCCCCAAGACCCAAAGACCCCTCCGCCGCCTTTTCCCAAAATTCGCGCCAGCAGCTGGCAGCACACGCACACACAGGCCATCCCTCCTCCCCCACCTGCTGGAAAGCACGCCCCCTCACCTCGACCGCATGGCAAGCATCAAGGGTGCACCTGTCGGAGAAAGTCGTCAGAGTGTGAAAGAGGGATAAAAATTTTCTTCGCCATCTCGGCCCCCTTCAAGGCCCCTTCAACAATCGCTCTGCATCCCGTCTCCGGTTCACCGTCCTCGCTGCATATCCCGCCTCGGCCCACGCTCCCCCAAACTCCCGCTCAGCCTTTTTTCCATCTCGCCCTTGGGCTCTATCATCCTCTCCCTGCCATTGGCGCGCCCAACCCTTGTTAGTGGCCTTGTGGCGACCCCTCACATCGCCCCCGGCTCGGTCCAGCTCCCAGCTCGTTACTCTCCAATCCTTGCCCTAGCACACATGGCTGTCATCATGATCTAGCCCCATTTTCGTGCCATTTGCTGCTCTCCAAGCCCTGTCTGCGCTTTCCTTTTCCCCGATCTTCCAAACAGCTCCTCGGCACTGCCTGTACATGTGCCTGTGCTGCTCCTCCTGCCGCTCACAGCCATCTTCGGCACGTGCCGAGCCCCGAGATCGCCCGACTCAGCATGGCCACTGGAGACAATATTGACGACCGGAGTAGAACCGCCGCAACGGCGGAGGACGACGGAGTGGACCACATCGGAATCGACACCCCACGCTCGGGCGTGGCCACACCGCAACCAGACCTCCATGACAAGCGACTGCCGGGCATCATGAGCTACTTTGGTCAGGTTCGTCTAGCCCCTTTTCAGCTTCTATCGTCAGCCACACCCTCGGCGTCCCGAGAAGCCGCAGCTGTAGCTGCCGCAGCGCCCTGTGTTACCAGTCACGGTCAGAGTCCACACGCTGCCGGTTCCCTATCCCAGCTGCCCTCCAGCCCCACTGAACCCGAGTTCGAGGAGTCGTGCTCGGCAGCGGCCCCGCCGCTCGTGCCACTTGAGAGGCTAGAGCCCTCGAAGCTGCAGATGCCATCTACGTGCCCCTATCCCACACCTCCCGCATCAAAGCGTGGCTCCATGCGCTGCGCCGCTTCCGGCGATCCTGCCGCTGGATGCCCTGGGGACGGCGCCGGGACACCCTCAGCCGCTGCCCGGCTGCTACGCCAGAAGACGAGCAGCCTGGAGCTCCCCAAGAGGCGCAACTCCCCTCTGCAGAACCCCCTGGCCGGCGTCGTCACCCAGTCTACCGTGCACGCCCGCCACTTCTCATACAATGACTTCCGCAGTGCTTCTTCCATTTCGTCGTCTCCCGGCCGCTCCGTGGTGGAGGGTGTTGCGTCTTCTTTCAAGGAGCCTGCGTGCATTGCTCAGCTTAGGAAGCTAACGGCTGCCGAGGATGAAAAGAGCGGCCAATCGACCCCGACCCGTTCCCTCTCCACCGCGCATGCCTCGCGCAGCGGCAGCCAGGAGGATGCGAACAAGGAAAACGGGAACGGAATCGGAATCGACCGCACCGCCACAAGCACCCCGTCCCTCCGGTCGGGAGAGCAGGTGCCGGCCCCCAAGGGCAAGCTCACCATCAAGGTCACCGAGGGCAAGGGGCTGCGGAAATGCCGCGACCCATACGTTGTCGCCGTTTTCCAGCGGAGCGAGCTTATATCAGGCGGCCCGCGCACCTTCGAGGATGAGGACGAATCTGCCTTGTCGGTCGGGAGCGTTCCCATGGGGGGTGTGCCCATCCAGCGTACAGCAAGTGACACGGGCAGAATCCCCATGGCCATCCCCATGAGGAGTCGCCAGAGCAGCAACACCAGCGTCAGCGATTATGCCACCTTCCGGAACCGAACTAGGCGATCATTCACGAGGCCAAAGTGGGACGCCGAGGCAGTCTTGTATGTCTTTGTCGAACCTTTCCCGAGTCGACTCGCGGTGGTGGATGTCGCTCCTCACTGATACCTGCCCGCTCGTCTTGTTGCTACCATGTTGGGCATTCAACTAACACAAGGTGTACCATGCACAGCGACGTTATCGACAAGAACATGCTTGTTGAGATCACCATCTACGATCACGGCTCCGCCGGTGAGGAGTTCCTCGGTCATGTCGAGATCGAGGCTAGCAAGGACAGGCCCGTCCATGGCTGGTACCCGCTCACTGGTCACGCCGACACCATGGCGGAAAACGCGCCGACGGGCGAGATCTTCGTCGAAGTCAACTACCAGTGGACGGAGCGCAAGCACTATGGGCCGAGGGACTTTGATATCCTCAAGCTTATCGGGAAGGGCACGTTTGGCCAGGTCTACCAGGTGCGCAAGAAGGACACGGGGCGCATCTATGCCATGAAGGTCTTGTCAAAGAAGGTAATTGTGCAGAAGAAGGAGGTGGCGCACACGGTCGGCGAGCGAAACATTCTGGTGCGGACCGCCACGTCCAACTCGCCCTTCATCGTCAGCCTCAAGTTCTCATTCCAGACCCCGACCGACCTCTACCTGGTCACCGACTACATGTCTGGCGGTGAGCTGTTCTGGCACTTGCAGAAGGAGGGCCGCTTTGACGAGAAACGGGCCAAGTTCTACATCGCCGAACTCATCCTGGCCATTCAGCACCTGCACAACAACGACATCGTCTACCGAGATCTGAAGCCCGAGAATATCCTCCTCGACGCTACCGGCCACATCGCCCTCTGCGACTTTGGGCTCTCCAAGGCCGACTTGGCGCAGAACGACACGACAAACACATTTTGCGGCACGACCGAGTACCTTGCTCCCGAGGTTCTGCTGGACGAGGCCGGCTACACCAAGATGGTGGACTTTTGGTCGTTGGGTGTGCTCGTGTTCGAAATGTGCTGCGGCTGGAGTCCTTTCTACGCCGAGGACACCCAGCAGATGTACAAAAACATCGCATTCGGCAAGGTCAGGTTCCCGCGGGACACTCTTTCGGTTGACGGTCGGAATTTTGTCAAGGGTCTGCTGAACAGGAACCCCAGGCATCGGCTGGGAGCGACCAACGACGCCGAGGAGCTAAAGCAGCATCCATTTTTCAAGGACGTGGACTGGGATGCCCTACAGAAGAGGTTGATCTCGCCACCCTTCAAGCCCAAGCTCAAGTCCGAGACGGATGTGTCCTACTTCGACCCAGAATTCACAAACGCTCTGCAGGCCAACGGCTCGCTCAACGAACGCGCAGCGGCCCTCGCCAAGGGATACGGAGCCTCAACGCCGCTCTCGCCCTCTGTCCAGGCCAACTTCCAGGGATTCACCTTTACGGGAGAGAGCACGCTCGAGGAGCAGATGAAGGATCGGTACGGCCACGAAGATGAGGACATGGACGACGTGGACAGGGCCAAGGACAACAACGACTGGGACGACGTTGACGATGGCGACATCTCCAAGGGGAACGGAAACCGAATGAGCGGTATCGAGCGGTCCTCCACTAATGATGAGCACATGTTCAGCGACTCGCAATTCGACGACATTTAGCTAACAGCCAACCACGTCATACGCCACCACTTTCCTGACACCAATAAGTGACTGATCAGGAAAGCAGCAAGGAGAAGCCAACCCAAAAGAGAGAGAAAAAATGAAAAAGAAAACACACACACACACACACACACACACACACACACAAGTACACAGCCCCGTCCCACCGTATCCCATCCCATCTGTCGGCAAGACTGGCATGCATATCATTCCAAACAACCCTCATCCGTTCACCGACCGTCGGTCTTCATCTGCGCTTACCCCTTTCATGCAATTCGAAATATCACCATGCATTGTTCAGTCAGGGCGGCCTGCATTTTACTATTTTCTATTTTTGCTAGTTTCCCTCTTGGTTGCCAATTCAGTAATTGGACGGGAATTCGGAAGGCGTTTAGGAACCCCGGACAATACGATTTATGCCTTTTACTCGCCGACGTCTTTGGCAGAAAGGGTTCTTGATGGCGAGATGTCAACAACAAACGCCTATCCATAATCCTACACGACAGCGGACTGCGCAAAAGTGTACCCACCACCTGAGCCCGCCCACCACCAACACACAAACAACAAAAAATGTCTTCACACGGTATATTCGTTTATATGCCCAGCTGATTTACTATGGGAGCTGGCCCTGGGTGGAGGAAGGAAGGGCACACGAAAACAAAGGCAGACCTGGAAGAAGACTTTTTGTTTTCCCTTCTACCCGTGCCCATTTCATTTGCTTTTTTCCTTCCATCTTCTATATGGAGGCGCTGATACTCTTGTTTCGTGTTTTTTTTTTTTTGAACACCAAAAAAAGGAAAAGGCCTGTCTGCTCGATACCTTGTATGTAGGCGAATCGAGACGGAGCCCCGAAGAGCTTTTGTTTCCCAGTGTCAACTCCTTCGCAGTGTAGCTCTGCTCCGAGTTTCCTCCCATCATCCCCCTCCTGCCTGCGAATCTGGCGAGACTACTGGCCGTGCATAGGCATGGACCAGGTGCACATGCGCCTAGTATGATGGCAAAAATACGGATAGGAACCTGGTTAAGCAAGTAGGTACGGCCCAGTGTCGAGATAATAAAAAGAACAAAGTGAAAGTACATACATGATCCGTTGGTGGATCTGGCGGTCAACAACACGCGAGGCGAAGGGCCGAGAGTACAGGGAATATGATCGTTTCTGAAATTCATACACTCGTGCCCGCACTTTAAACACCATGCCCAACGACGCTCCGTCAAGCAAACCAAGTAGGGTAGTAGGGTCAAATCATTCATTTTTTTCGATCTGGCAACTGCCACGTATTATACAAGCCCGCTCCTCCCCCTCAAGGACAAACAACCGGGGAGGAGCGAGTGCGGCGCCGACGGCCGCGCCTAAGGAGTGAGCATGAAAACAACAAATATCAACAGGCGAGGTAAAGAGAGAGACGCCTCTTTTGAGGTACTTCCCCCGCTCGAACTTCACCCCCTTGTCTTGACCAAACCCGTACCACCCCCGGGATTGCCACCCCGCCATTCGCTTCGAGGCAAAAACGCCCGTGTCTTCTCTCCGCAACATTGGCCTACCCCTTTCTCTTCCGGACCTCGGGGATGGGCCGGACAGAGCCGAGGGAGCGGGGTCACGCCAAACCCGCCCCTCTGGTGTTTTCTGTTTCCCCCCGTGTCGTTAACAAAAAAAAAAAAAAAGATTAAACATGTTTTTTTTTTCTCTTAGTGGCTGCCGTGGCTGTCCTCCTCCTCCTCCTCGACGAGCCAGTCCTCGACGGCGGCCGGGGCCTTGGAGGCGTCGGCGCCGGCGTCCTGGCCCTCGACCTCGACGGCCATGCTCTCGTACTCCTTCAGGCTGGCGGCCAGGTCGGCCTCCTCGGGGGACTGGGGCGCCTTGGGCACGCTAAAGGTGGCGACCTGGCCCTGGGCGTCCGACTCCTTGACGGGCACGGGCTTGTAGGCCTTGAGCTCCTTGAGGTAGAGCTCCTGGACAAAGTCGGCTGTCGTTTGGGGTTTTGCGCGTTAGCCATGATGAAATTGCATTGCCTTGTTTGCCTGCCTGCCTGACTGCTTGCTTGCCCCCCGCGAGCAAGCCGACGACGGGAAGAGCGAGCCATCCACCAGGGGGAAAGCCAGCGGCGCGGTGGGTGCCGAGGCAGAGGAGGGGGAACACGTACCTCTCCGCGAAACGGTTGGGGCGATGAAGGTGCGGGCGGCGGCCGGCCTGGCGACAAGTCTGGCAGCGACCGAGACGGCCTTGCGGCTCTGTGTTTGTCAGGAAGACGTCGGTTAGTTCCTCAGGATGCGGAGTCGAGGAGAGCAATTGGTGGCGCCTTGTCCCCGCACGCGCCATCGTCGATTTTTTTGATTTTTTTCCACTCGCCGTCGCTGTCTCGTTTTTCTTTCTCCATTTTCCTCCAGCTTCTCCTTGCATCATTCAACATCCATTGATCTCCATTTATGCTTCCTCCACTTGATTCAATCAAATCGACAGATAGACCGCCTTTTGAGCGTCATCGAACCAATCGGCCGATGTAGGAAGGAGGGTGGGGGAGGGTGCGTACAGAAACTCTGGAGATTGAGGACAGCATGGCGGCGATTGATTGTGTGTGGGAGGTCACAGACAGTCGCGCAATTGGCAAAACGGACGCGGAGAGGGCGGAGAGGGCGGGCGGAGAGACGTGGGTGCCGTCGTCGTCGTCGTGGAGGATTCCAATGGGGGAAGAGTCGGCGTTTGAGAGGTTTTTCTTGTCCTGGAGCCAATCCAGTGCTCGACCCGCCCGTTATTCCGAGCTCCAGCCGGGAAAGCACGGGCCACACAAGCTGCGCCGCTCTCTCCGCACACGTGACTCGAAGCTTATCAAGGTGCTTTCTGGCGGGGCGCTTGACGGCTGTGTTACGTCAACCAGGAATGGAGCGATCTTCCTAGCACATCAGCAGCAAAGAACAGTCCTTTGGCCACCATTATAATACTCCTGCGTTTCGCAATTTCTATTATTTGGCTCCCTGCGCCCCTCTGTTAACTGTGATTATGAAATGACTTCTACATACTGAATCGCAACCCTCGATTGTTCTCTAAAGGTAGTCTGCACAAAAGAAAAGTATACTGGTATCGCAACCCTCGACTGTCTTCTCTGGCGTCGCTCTTATCGAGCAAACCATCCTGCGCTCCGTCCTATGGACACTCAGAGACAGAATCACCTCCTCAGAGTCACCACTCGCCTACATGAACTGCACGTCCCCCAGCCCCTTTCCAGGCCCTTGGTCTCAAGGATACGGCCGCCTGCGGTCAGCCGAGGTCGGGGGCGAAGGCCCAATCTTGTCGCCAGACTGGCTACGGCGCTTGGCCCTGAACATAGTAAAGACCTTTACCGCAGCGTACAGCACAAAGATCACAGCCGCGACAACAACGTAGGCAATGATGAAGTTGCCGGGGACGCCCGTGAGCCGGAGGCCCAGGCCGCCGTTGACGATGCCGAGCACGATCAGGGACTGCCCCCAGATGATGTGCACGTAGCTGACAAGGCCGCGGCGCTGGTGCTTCACGTAGTGCATGTGGTGGGCGTACCCAAGGAACGGCTGCAGGATGAGCAGGCAGACCACGATGACGCCCAGGGTCGTATGGGCGTTGTTGAACAGCTGCGTCGTCCGTTTTGTCAGTTTGTCTCGTCTCACTTTTTTTCATCTGCCTGCTGCCGGTATGGCTTCAGAGATTGGGCTGCTACTCACCATGCTCCTATCCTTGGCCACCGTAATGCCCAGCGCGAAGCCGACCCACATGAGGATGAAGTTGAACACCTGTGCGCCTCCGTGGACCTTCCATTTGCCAAACAGCGGCATGACCATGGATGCCAGAGGGTACAGAATCACAAAGAGGATGGCCATGATGGCGCCGTGAGCAAGCACCAAGCTGCTGGGGCCAGTCGAGCCGAAAGATACGCCGCCGGAACTGCCGCCGGAACTGCCGCCGGTGTTGTCGTTGCCAGATCCAGAACCACCAGTGAGAAAGGGGTTGCTATCCGACGGGATGGCGGCCTTGCTCAGGTCGAGGGCGAAGACACTCGTGTCGTCGTGCCGTCTTATGCCGGCGTTCTGGTTCGTCGTCGCGAGCGAGCTGCCCTCTGCCCACGCGCCGATCCACGACGTTTGAGTGTCTGCGAGGCCCATGGAGCCGCCGTTCCACGACTGGCAGTTGGAGCAGGCGATGTTGGCAGTCATGGAGCCGTCGGATGAGACACCACTGCCCGCCAGTAGTTGCAGGCGCGCTGCTGTCGACGAGGTGTCAAGCTGCGGTTGTGTGTAGCGCGTGCCACGGCGGGGAGACACAGTAATGTTGCCTCTGCCATCCTGGTACACAAGGAAGATGTTGCTCGAAGCCATCCCACTGCCAGTTCCCAGGGCTACCCACGAGAACGAGGCCGGAGCCTTGATCTGCATATAGATGGTGCCGGACCCGCTTGATGCCGACGATCTGGGAACACCGACACTGTAGCAGACACCCTTGCCATTGGGAGGGCACAGGTTGATGCTCGCCGATGCCATGGTTGCTGTGTCGGGGCTGATTAGCCCTGCTCGCGACCCGCTGAATCACGGCTTGCGGCAAAATGGAGGCTGGTTTTGGGCGGGAGGGGGAAGTGTGGTGGAAGATGCTCACACATCAGCGCCACTGCCGTGGCGATGGAGTCTTTGAGCTGCATAGTTGCGGCTGTATTGGTTGCTCTTTTCCTTCACGTTGTCTGTACTCTGTCAGTTCGACGTGGCTAACGAGACCGGATGTCCAACCCGCTGAAGGACAGTGCGCAAAAAGAGGAAAGTGCCAGATAGAGGCAGTGGCTATGAAGCAAGTTGATGTTTGGCGCGATGGTGACAACAGTGGTGACAGTAATATCAACCCGAGCGTGTCCAGCCAGCTCAGGGAAGAAGAAGAGGCAAGAGGGAACAGGTGCGGCTGAGGAAGTAGCGGGTTATGCTAAGGGATGGAAAAGAAAGGGTGCTTGTGCGAGGACACCAGCCGATTAAAAGGGGATGGCGTGGGCAATGCCAGCTCTTCCAAGCCAGCCCGCAACCAAACTTGGCGCCGTCAGGGAAAGAGATAAGGCCGCAGAGGCGGAAAGCACCAGCAAGCACCACGCCGGGAGGGATGCCCAAAAGGAAAAACATCCACGCCCCTGTCCGTTCCTCGGAGTCGGGGTTGGGGAAGGCTCGAGGCTGAGGAAATGACGACTAGCGTCGCTTGGCTCGTGCCTTTTCCCTGCTTGGCCACCCGCAAGCGGACAAAGGAGGACGGAGGGAAATGTCGTAAGGGGCTCAAAAAAGCGAATGTACAGTACCTACCAAGAAAACGGTATTCCTCGCTGACAGAGCGTGGCACTCCTCGCACGAGTTTGCAGACGCCCGGATTTTCCAGCCTGGTAATACTTGTATAAAAAAGAGGGACGATGACTAGCCAGCCACAGCTGATGTAGGAGCGCCTGTTTCGCTTTTAGGGTGTCGGATGCCGGTAGAAAGAAGGATCGAAATGGGGGTTGAGGGGCGTGTAAACATAGACACTCTGACAAGATGAGTGACGGCGTCTTCTATATATACATTGGAGGACGAGTACTACCTGCCTGGTCACCTACAAACCTACCAGACAATTTCGTCTTTCGCGAAGGAGAACGAGATGAGGAGGTAGGTAGCTAGGGAGCCACGCTGTTGGGTAACGGCACTGTATCCCTGCTCCCGTCAATCTGGTCGTTCCAGTTCACGACTCAAGGTGATCATGGAGGCAGCTTGCGCGCTCGAAAATTAGGTTCGTTGCGGGAGGGGGAAGAGGCAGGGATGATGCCAGCCGTCTGGTATCACCCCTTGGCATTTATTTGATGTGGCTCGCTGCTCCGAGGCATTTTTCCTTCTTTTTTTTTCACGCTTCTCCTTGCTTGGGCCGGATCCGAGAGCCTTCCCCGCGAGAACAAGGGGCGGATGGACAAGTGTCGATCGCCTGGGCGGGCTGCTGTGCCACGGTGACACGCACCACCTGGCTGAATAGGCCGGGGTGCCAGCTCTTGGGAATGTCGCGTTTTGGAATAGCGGTGCGGGACCCCATCATATATGCCAAGGCCACTCGCCATCGGGAGAGGCAGGAGGGGGGTGCAATCTGCGTGACAGGTCCAGAGGATTGGAACCGGTCCACGGCAACTGTCACGAAACAAGCGCGAGGGAACACTGCCTCGTTCCGGGCCACGGCGCGGCGGTCCCCACGCAGCGTGTCCATGCAGGGCGCAACCCTCCATCGTTATGCCGAGTGTGGGTGCCGTGGGTGCCCCGTAGTTGAGAGAGGGAAGGTGAGAGGGAAGGTACTTTGGGCCCATGTTTGTGGCTATGCTATATCGGGAGCTGAGCTGAGCATGACGGCAGCAATTTCTCCACCCATTTCCCCTGGGCCAGCGTGCTGTCTTTGCGGCGGGGTGACGAGCTAGCCAGTCAGGGCACGGCTATTGCACAGCTGTTGGAGTCGCAGGTGCACATTAGCCCAGGCTTGGGCGGTCAACCGGCGTCCATCGTAAACGCTGGACTGGGGACAAGCATTCAGTGCCGGAATCCTCCCGGCTTTGGTTTGCTTGTAGGTATTCACCCAATGCCTCTCACAATACATCTCTAGCTGCTGATAGCTAGAGATTAGTGACACGAGTGTTTCGTTGTTCGAGGCATGCTCATCAAAGTACTGAGTCTCTCTTGCAAGTTGCAGCATGGACCCCCACGTCGCAGCGAAATGTCAGATCTTGGTGAGAGCCAGAATGTAAGACGTGCTTCCTGTTTGGACGGGACAAGACAAAAGTACGGCGATTGACTGACTGGTCCCTTTTGACCGAAGACTGTCTTTCACTGCATGCCCGACCCTGCGCCGGCCTTGGCAGGCTGTGGTACGCGCGGCCGTCGAGGGCGTTGGCAGCCAGAGGGCCAAGGGCCAAGGGCCAAGGGCGCAACCGATTGAGGAGGGGTCGGGCATGTTCTGCCCGAGGAGGTCGCTCGCCCCCACCGCACGCCCGCCGCCAAAACTCTGCGTGTTACGAAGCCTGGACAGCTGGCTCCTGACTGTTGCTGACCAACCCAGGGCCCGAGACTGGGGCCCCATCCCCCATTTCCCGTCCCCTGCGGAAAGGTCCCCTGGCCAGACGGGCTGGTGGGGTCCGGAGCTGGACTAGCGCCGGACTCTTGCGCGCCGGGCCCCTGCCACTCTTGCTTCCCTGCCACCCTGTCAGACTGGGCTCTTCCAATGTTTGTTCTCCAGCCCAGCAGCTTTGGGATCCGCCCTCCCCCAGACTAGCGGTCCCGGCATCCAAAACAAAACGGTGGGGTTTCCGGTTGGTTGATGACGACGACGGGCGCCGTTGCTGCTAGCCTACCTACCTATCTATCTAAGAGGATCCATCTAGGCCTTATCGACAGCTATGTAGAACGCAACTGCCGACCGATAGTCGGACCGGAGCAGAGTCTGATGGGCAGGCACCTGGGGTGGGGTGGCCACGCACAATACCATCTACTCTCACCGTCTTGGTGCATAACACGAACACGTCGCCTAGCTGGCTGGGATCTCATTGCCGGAATAACTTGCCAGACGGCCTCGTTCCCTGACACGGCGCAACACGACCACCGCGTGCGCGGGCCCGGCGCAATGGTCGAACCGGCCGCCGCCCGTCAGTGAGATCCACCTTCCTGGCCGGGATCGTCCTGCGTTGAGATAATCGAAATTCCCGTGACTCGCTCGTCAGAACCCACCTGGGACGCGCCGTTTGGGAGCTTCTTGGCCTCCAAGTTGACGAAAACCTTATGCCAGGAACCTGCCTCGTTGGGCGTGGTTTGGCGAGATGAGCCGGCGCGGGTGCCGCGTCAGGTGCCGCTCGTTCTCTGCGGCCAACTTTGTTTGGCGGATTTTTCGGTTCGGTTTCTGTTCCTGGCCTTGTTGCCAGCTGCGCCCCGCGAAGGTGCCGGGTACCCTATTCAACAAACACCTGCCTATCTGGTTGCTGACTTGTTTTCGTCTCGAATTTATAAGCTCGTGGAATGTTTCGGCATTTGATCGTATTTTCGTATTCGATACGGGCACCCATCCGGTCTGCCTGGAGGCATTGGTTGCTTTTGCTGCTCTCGACGCTGCCCTATGCACAATATGAAAATGACCAAATCAAGAAAATAGACGGCTTTGCGCGTTGAGCTTATATCCGTCATTCTTTAGTCTCTCTCTCATCAGGGGGGTTTTTTTTTCACGCTTTCGTCTTGGTATTTATGATCCCTGAGAGACGTCAAGATGAACGGGATCCTTGTTGGAGACACTGCAAACTGGGGTCTCCATGCCTCGAATGCATGCCTCCCGCGTGACAGCGGCAAACAAGCGAGTTTAATGTGACTTTTCCAGGCATGTCATCTCGCCTCGTTGACGCCAGGAAACGCAATCCAAAATCATACCTCACATCTCCTCGGAGAGTGGTGGCACTGTTCCCTGGCGTCCATGGTGACCAGTATCTTCTGGACTTACCCGGATCTGGAAAACAAAACAGAGACGGCCATGGAGGGACCTTAAGGAAAAAAAGAACAAACTTTAAGTATATCAGGTGTCCACCCAAGGGAGCCTCGTTCAAACCCTGCCTATCAACCAACACCGGCCACCATTCCGTTCCCTTCCATTCGTTGGTCCCTCTGTCCCTTCTGTAAACAAAATGAATCGTCTCAGTCTATAATCTTAGGAAAGCTTCCAAAACGCACGCTTGTATGCGTGTTTAGCCCATGCAAAACCCTGTTCTGTGCGACTGACATCGCCTTGCCCTTGTGGTATTAAATGGTCAGGGGTGCGTATTCTCTTCACCGTCTCTTCTCGCCCGCACATTTAGCGGGCCGCCTCGGCTGCCAGCAGAAATCCACCATTCTCCAAAAGGCTGCTCGACGCCACGAAGCTGAACCCACCAAAGAGCTCCTCCTTCGGAGCACCTTCCCTGACGGGGGACAGAGCATCTGGCAGCCTCGCCGGCGGCGGCAAGCCGCTCCAAGGGTCTTCTCGCGTCGTCACCACGGGGCTCAGCGACAGCTCCGTAAATTCGGGCGCAAAGTTCTCGGCCAGCTCCGGGTCCGTGATCATGGGCTGGATCGGTGGCTCCACCTCGCGCGCTGCCAGTTTCTTCCAGTCGATCTTGCGAAAGAAACGGTGCTTCTTGATGGTGGCCAGATCCTTGGGCATATTGGCACCGAGGCGCTTCGACGGCTCCTTCTTGAGGAGGCGTGTGAGCAGGTCCTTTGCATCTGGGCTCAGGAAGTAGGGCAACACCAGCTTCTGCTTCACAATATTGTCCTGGATCTTGGCGTGGTTCTGTCCCCGGAACGGCGGGTTGCCAGTCATTAGGTCGTATCCCAGCGCGCCCAGGCCCCACCAGTCCACCGCCTTGCCGTACTTCTTGCCCTGGATGATCTCGGGCGCCATGTACTCGACTGTGCCCAGGATCGAGTTGCACGCGTCCGACGACGGGTCTACTGCCACCTTTGAGAGTCCAAAGTCGGTTAGAAGCAGGTGACCCTCCGAGTCGAGGAGGCAGTTTTCAGGCTTCAGGTCCCTGTACACCACCCCGAGGTTGTCATGCAGATGCGACAGCGCGAGCACCATCTCGGCCATGTAAAAGGCCGCGACATCCTCCGAGAAGAGTTTCTCCGTGTTGAGGTGGGTAAATAGCTCGCCGCCTTGTCCATACTCGAGTATAAGGTACAGCTTCTCATGGTCCTGGAAGGCGTAGTAGAGCTTGACAACGAACGGGTGACGGTTGACGCTCTCGAGGATCTGACGCTCCGTCTTGGTCTGCTCTACCAACTTCTTATGCACGACAAGCGACGCCTTTTTGAACTGCTTCTGCGCATAGAGCCGACCGGTCGTACGCTGCTTCACCAATATCACGGTGCCGTAAGTGCCCTTGCCGAGGCAGCGCAGCGGTTCGAAGTCGTCGGCCGTCATCTTGCGCGGCGGTGGGGGCAGGAGCCCGCCCTCTATGGCGTTGGCGTACAGGGCAGGGCCCTCGGCGGCCCCGCCTAGAGTCGAGAGCCGGTCCTTGATCGTCTCGCTGACAAAATCCTCGTCCAGGTTGATCTCGTAGCTGGTCGTTGCGTTGGACGACGTCTCATCGCCGCTGTTGCTGGTCTGGCCACTGCCGAGGCGCTCGCGGCTGGGGGCCCGGCTGGTGGCGTTGCTTACCATGCCGGGGCGCGCCCCCACCGCGGGCCCGAGTGTGGGGAATGCCAGCGGCGAAGTGATGATGCGCTGACCGCGGCTGTCGCTGCGCGTCATTGAAGTGGCTCGGGAGGACGCGGCTGTGACATCCAGGCTCAGCGGCTCCATTTGGAGACGAAGTTTGGCGATGCCGCTCACGGCAGGCGAAGGAGTGGCCTTGAGCAGAGGGCTACAGTTTGCGCTGACCACATCGTCGAGAGCGACGGGGCGCTTACGGCCTCTCGGCGGCGTCGCCACCTTGGCGCGCGGCGCCGACGTGGCGCCATGGTCAGAATCCTCATCGCCCGAGACGCCGGGCGTCCCTTGGAACCCCCGCACGGTGGAGAGCGCGGGCACAGCTGGGGCTATCATGGCTGGAGATGCCTACGGTGGTGGCGCCGTGCTAAAAAAAAAAATGAAATGAAATGGTTGCTACTGGCGACAAAGCAGCGAGTCTTCTGCTGTCTCTCCAGGGCTCGCCCAGTCCCGTCTCAGGGAGGGTCTGCGACGGCAGCTGCCGGATCCCAGGCCAGGCCCAGACGCAGTATGGCGTTGGAAAGACGGTCGCGAGGGCAGCCCGGCGGCAGATGGGACTGCCGGCCAGGGATTCAAGGCGCAGAGCAGCCGCGCCGTCGCTCAGCGTCGCAACGGTCTTCGGAAAATGAGGCGCGCACGAGGCTCAGGTTTCGGCCTACGCGCATCTGGTGCTTCAAGGAGGAGAGGGAAACGTCGTAGGGCTCTGGCGTAAAATGCATTGGCGATAATCCTTGTTCGGGCCGTCTGTCAGTCGTGTCGTGGTTCGGTTGGTGAGGAAAGGGTCAACCTTTGCTTGAGGGAAAGAGGCAAGAAAAGGAGAGGGGGGACATGGGGGGATCAGCCAACTAAAGGCAGGTGCTGGCACGCAAAAATAAAAGTGGGCGGTTCTTGCGCGTTGTGTTTGGCTGCGACACGCGCCTGGCACGCCTGGTCAGGGCTGAAGCAGGTTCCACTGAGAGCGGTGCCAGCTGGCTGTCCGAGCGTCAGGCTCACTCAGCCCACCTCGGTCCAGGGCGGGTTTGTGGTGCCCCGGCCCAGGGCTGCTGATCAGGGCTGTTGTCAGGGCTGCGCGCTGGGGTGCGCTGGGGCAGAGGCCCGGCAGGCGGGAGTCACGTTATTGGACCCACCGATGCAACCTCGAATGGTGGTCGAGGATTTTACTGTGGTCAGCAACAAAGGACTGGGTGCGGTGCATGGAAGTGGCACCTCCTTTTCGCCGCTTCTGGAAAGTTTGAGACCCAAACGGATCTTCATCTCCGAAACTGCGCAGAGGTAACCCCGAAAAAAGATTGACTCCTGTGCGTCCACATCTGCGCCGCACATCTGTGCAGCTGCGAGCCGGCGCTGCGAGATACCACACGGGTCCTGCGCCTCGGCCGCGCCCGCCGTGGGCTCCGACGGCGCGGGTGGGGCTTCGGGACCGGCATTCGGCGCCGCTTCGGGCGCAGGCTCGATCTCCAGATCACGCACTTGGACTGGCTTCCAAAGCTACCAGCTTGGCTCGAGCCCATTACATTGCGGAAGAGGGATACAGGTTAACACACCACGGGATCTAGTTTGGTGTCGTCTCTCTAGGTTAAAGGGTTATCTCGACCGGCACCACGTAGGGCTGGACATACCTAACGCGTCTTTCATCTACACCATGATCCGATCAAAGATGCCCGACTCCTCGCATGAACCTTCTGCATTTCATAATTGCTGCCTGACCATGTACCTCAGCTCTACTACTTCACACTCCCTGGTGCTTCAAGCTGCCACGAGGGCTACCAAAGCACAGCTGCTAGCACAGATCAAACAAGGCGAGCCGTGGCCGGTGGGCGCTTAGATCCCGCACCAAATTGCTGCCCTCTGGGACGTCCATCACGCCACCCTCTGACAGCGGACCCAGCGCATCTGCCGGCAGGAGCCAGAAGCCAACAGCCTGCGGGATGGACAGTTGCGCCTCGGATGCTGCCGAGTCGGGATTTTCGACGTCGAATTTTGTGTAAATACCGTCGGGCGCAAACCTGCTCTCCCATGTAGCCGCCTCGGAGGCTATGTACCGCTCGGCATCGGACTTGGAGCGCAGACGAGCGTCGACGGCGGTGTCCATGGTCTCCACCGGCCTTGAGGCCAGCGCCACCCGCTTCTTGGCGACAACGGCCGTCGAGATGTCAAAAGCGGCCTCCATGGATTGCCAGTGGGCGATCATACCACGGGGGTCGTCGCCGACGGCAACCTTCTCGAGGTAGTACGCGAGCGCATCTTCCCCGGCCGTTCCCCGTGGATCGGGCACTGGGAGCAGTTGGAAGTTTGCATTGGAAGACCATAGCGGCAAAGCACGGTTGTACCGTGCGGCAAAATGGTCGAGCGAGCCGAACATCAAGCGGTTTTCGGTACGGGACATGCTAACAAACGTTACTGTACGAAAGCCCAGAAGGGCTGCGCGCAGTCCCGAGGCAGCTTGGACCGAAAGACGAGACAGGTCTGGAAGTTTTGATGTTAGCGTACGAACAGGACAGACAGCCATAAAGGAAGCATGGCTGGATTAAAACCGCAAGATGGGTTCGTTGAGTCTTACCTGTAGGCAGTTGAACAGAACCAAACGGCATCTCCCGGCCTAGGGCGATATGCAGGATGCCGAGACCAGTCCTATCATAGGCCCTGGCATCGGTAAGAAAATCGGCCAGTAAGTCAACCTCCCGGTCAACTTCTTGGTCTTCCAAGACGCACACGTCGGCGTCCCAGCATGCCAACGTGAAGTGAATGACGTCGGTTTCAGGCTTTATAGCTAGGAGTGGGGACATGGGGCCGCCGTCGGTCGGGATATGGACCCGGTAATGCCCCATAGCGACGGAGCGGGCCTCTCTGCTAACGCGAAGCAGAGGGCTCAAGAGCCCCCGCGAGTCGGCCTCGAGGCGGATGCGGTAGGGCGCGCCGCTGACCGGGCTCCCGAGCTCATTGTGTGCAGTGTAGGCCCCGGGCGACGGGCTGGCGTCGTCTTCTTGGTCGGGTGTGGTCTCATCAGCACAGGTTGATTCGATGGTGATAGCAATGATGCGCTGGGCGGGAAGGAGGTGTTGCCAGATCTTGCGCCGGAGCTCGGCCGGGAGACTGCTGAAACGGGGGAACTCTGTAGACTCGGGAGGGCTTGCCGAGGATGGGACATGGTCGCCAATGTCGTTGAGAAGCGCCAAATGCATTTTGGGCTTCGTTGGGTGAGTGTTGTCGATGCTCTTTTTTTCTCTCTCACTCTCTCTCTTCTTCTCTTTTCATTCACGTTTTTACTAAACACGGCGGCGCTTGAGCCCGTCAATCACTTTGGGCGGAGCAGGGCAGTGCACTGCCCGCTTATGTAGGAGCTGATGGCGGCCTGACGGGGGCGGGGTTACCGGAATAAAAATGTGTTTATAGAATTGTCTGAAGGTGCGGCTGATAGGATTGATTGATCTGGTAGTCAGCACTATCCCCGTCGCCCCTCTTTTATTGGTGGCCTCGTTCGCCATCTCATCGACGAGCGGGAGCCTCAGTCTGACGGAATTCATTGACCCCGGACGGCCGCAGCATGATCCTCCCAAAGCGGCCGCTGCCTGGACCGGCCAATGTGGCAATTATCGACGAGGCCATGGCCGGGTACCTGGCGGCCCGTTGAGTAAGTCCTCGAAGCCGCGAGGCTGAGCAGCTGGTCTAACTGTTCCTCCGAATTTCAAGTTCGTCCTCTAGCCTCCTCGACCCCCGTGCAGTCAAGTCTTTTGGTATAAAGATTCGTGGCGACCGCGACCATGGAGCACGTTTCCATGATCATCATCCTCATCCCTCACAAACACATCTCATCTTTCACCCACCTCTCCAGCAAGCCTTTTCACTATCAACAATAACAACACACTTGACCACAACAACCCTAACCACAACAAGCCAAAAACACCATATATCTCAACCTTTCGGCTTTTTCAAGATGCAAATCTCTCGCTTCTTCAACTCTCTCTTCCTGGCTTGCCTGGTTACCGCCCCGGCGGCTCTGGCGCAGGAGCAGAATGATCAAAGGTATTTTAGTATTCCATAAAAAGTCTTGGAAAAGGGGGGAGTGTCCAACTAACTTTGATAACCCATAGACTGGTCGCGCGCCACTTCGGCAATGATGGTCCTGGGACCGCTGCTGCGGCTAGGGCCATCCCTTTGGCTCAACGCGGCCTTTTCGATAAACCAGCAAAGAAGCCGGCCGCCAGCCCTGCAAAGCCGCCTGCCAGCCCTGCAAAGCCGCCTGCCAGCCCTGCAAAGCCGCCCGCCAGCCCTGCAAAGCCGCCCGCGAACGCGCCGGCGCGCAAGCCCAAGAAGAACGTCTGCAAGATCAAGCAGCCCGGCAAGCCCGGCAAGCCGGGCCGCAGGAGCCTCGCCAAGAGGGCCGTCAAGGCCGTCGCCGAAGGCACCACAATGACGGGCACCAATGCCGACGAGCTGAGGACCTGGAGCCTCAAGAACTGTGTCGGCCTCGCGGCCTACGACTGCGATACGGGCGCCAAAGTCATGGCCCACATTAACGGTGTCAACAGCAGGGGTCAGGACTACAGGGCGCAGACGGTTGCCTTCATCTCCCAGGCCAGCCTCATCAGCGATACCGTCACCCTGCGGAAGCCCAACTCGGCCGACTTCAAGGACGACACGACCGCGGCAAACTGCGCCAAGATCGCGGGCATGGCCATCGACATCAGGGTGCAGCTCGAGACGGCTGGCTTCAATGTCGTCGAGGAGAACCGAAAGATCAAGGATGGTGACATGCAGGTCGCTGTGAACGGCAAAATAGCCATTGACACTGGCATCCGCAGCACCGCCTAATTGGAAGCATGGGAGTGGTGTTGGCCGGGGAGGGTTGAGGAGCAACGGTTAGAGTGAAATTGGGACTTTGGGTTGCTTGGGATTTGGGTTGGTCAGGATTTGGGTTGCTTTCATGGGGAAGCATGGCGTACAAGGCGTTTATTTTGCTCCTTCTAGTACAATGTGTTACATTGCATTTGTTCTTTGTTTGGTTTATTCTCCTAGCGGGTGAGATGCATTGGGCGACGGACCCGGCCAAGTACAGCCGTCAGAAGGGGGCGTTCGAGGTCGCGTTATCATGCAGATGGAGTCAATAGCAATATAGTGCTGCCTGTGAACCCGAGCCTTGTTGATCATGCGGACATGATTGCATCTACCCAAACTACCTGCTGAGAATGTTGCGATGGTCCCGATTCTTCTACCCGGCTAGTATTGTGGGTCCAAAGGCTCCAGTCGGGACCTACGCCGCTCCCAGCCTGGCGCATCTGTCGGGACAGAGGGCGAAGACCAGAACGCCCGCTATCCGAGGACAGCCCGATCCCAGGAAGGCATGGCTCGAGGGCAGCACCCCAACGCCAGCACTAGGTTGCTGCCACCACCTCTCACTCTACCAAGGGGGTAGTCTGATGGAGGAGCGGCTCAGCCCGTGGGCGAAGCGCAAGCGGCTAGGTTAGGCACCCGGCCCAGAACCTCGTCTGCTCTCTCCTGGGGAAGTGGGGTATGGATTGGGCGGGTCTTCTTCCGCGGGTGGGGCGGGGCGAGACGGGGCTAAGCGAGAGCAGCAAGGGTCGGTGCGGGTTGGTAGCGCCCGGTCGAGGCAGGTTGCAGTGATGCGTTGGCAAATGCTCAGAGGGCCGTTGGCAAATCACGGCTGGGTGACGGCAGTGTCCACCAGCAAAGATGCAAGCACGCGGTGGAGCCCTCGCCGCTTGGCGCGTCTGGGCGGAAAGCGGCAGCTGAGCCGGCGCCGGCACGTTGGGCGGACACCAGGGTAGCGGCGCGAGGCTGGTAGGAGAGCACATCCGGCAGGCCGGCCGGTGGCGGCGAGGGTAGCTTGTGGCATGGCAACGACCTTGGGACGAGGCGACTGGCCTCTCCACCGGAGGATTGTGCTGATCTCGTAGCCGCGGTGGACATAGCGTCCCCGGGGAGCTGAGTGACCTCGAAGGTGCCGCCGTGCGGGCTTGGTCCGCTGTATGAGGCGGGAGGGTTGGCTAGGTTTTTTGAAAATTTTCTTTTTCTTCTCATTGCAGGCATTCCGAGCTGTATGCCTAGATACTATCTGGGTCCTTTGTCTGGACGGACTAATGTCTGTCTCGGTATCATGGAACGGGAGTCAAATGCGGCTGCCCCAGCCGTGCCAGCCCCTTAAACCCCCTCGCCGTCATTGCGTCCCCAAAGCTTGACCGTGCGATCGTGGCCGCCGCTGACAATCCATTTTCCGTCCCTGCTCACGTCAACGCTGGCAACAGGGCCAGTGTGCCCGCTGAGGGACTGAACCAGAGCCCAGTCGTCCGCGGAGAATATGTTGACCTTGTTGTCGAAGCCGCTAGAAACGACAAAGGTGCCCGACTTCTTCGGCAGAGGCTGTCCTTTGTCGTCCAGCCCCAGCGGGTTTCCACTCAGCGGGCCGTCCAGTCCCTTGAACCAGCGCATGTCCGACACGGCGCTCGTATGCGCCCCGATGCCTCCAGTGCGCTGCGCCTTGCGGACGTCCCAGCACTTGATCCAGCCATCGGCTGAGGCCGACATGACGCGGTAGCCGTCCGAGGACCAGTCAAGCGCATATATTGGCTTGATGTGTCCGTCCTGGTGCCCATCGAGTATGAAGATGGTCCTGCCTGTCCTCAGGTCCCACACTCTGCCGATACTGTCTTGGCCTGCGCTGGCTAGGAGCGACCCATCCTCGTTGAAGCTGACTGCAAAAACTCCGCGAGAGTGGCCCTCCTGTAGCAATAGCTCAGTCTTCTTCTCCACGTCCCATAGCCTCCAAGATGTATCCTCCGAGGCCGAGGCTAGATATCGGCCAGAGGGGTGGAATTCGACTCGACAGACCCTTTGTGTATGACCTGACAGCGTGGCAAGCGGCGTGTCATGATTGAGAGACCACATGTGTATCTGGCCTTCTGCTCCTCCGCTGGCCATGTTCACGGTGTCGGGAGAAACACCACTCTCGGGCAAGGTCGCACCGGGGAACCATGAGAGGCCGCTGACCTTGTTGGTGTGGCCCCTAAACGTCCTCGTTTCCTGCAGGTCGGGGATTGTAAAAAGCTTCACCGATCCGCCCCAGTTGCCCGCAGCGACAAATTCTCCGTTTGGCGATATCCTCGTGATGCTTAGGTGACGCTGGCCCGCGGTCTGCGAGCCCTGCAACTCGAATCCCTGCAGCTTTTCCTTGATTTGTTTTCGGAACCTGACGTGCGTCCTCTGGACGATGCCGGATTCTTGTTTCTGGAATGCAAGGCGCTGCTTTGCTCGGGGGAGTGAGTACCTCGCGATATCTCTCCTTGCTTCGAGTAGCTCGGGCTCGCCTCTGGTGTAGAACTCCTCCTCGCGCTCCTCGGCGTCATCCGATGCTGCATCATCAGCATCCTCCATGTCAACATCTTGGCCCGGCGCTTCGCCCCCCCTCTCCCGCTCCTTTTCTCTCATCAGGAGCTCCCGTAGCCGGTCTCGACGGTCCGCGGGGCCCTCGCCGAAGAGCGTTATGGGCTCGCCCATTTCCCGGAGCCTCGATCTAACCCGTCCATCGTCCGTGGGGACCGCGATATTCGCGGCAAGCCGTTTCCTCTCGAACTGCGACATGAGCACTGAGGCCTTCTCGGACGCGATGCCGGCCCCACTCGTTGGCACGTCATAGTCGTAATCGACAGCTGAAGCGCAGATTGTTAGCTGGTCACCGGGCTCTCTCGCAGGGTGGATGAGATATAATCATTTGGCACCTACGGATGTTGCTGAGATCTATGCCACGTTTCTGTGAAGTCCAACAGCGTCAGAGTCAGCCCGTTGCAGAGGAAAGTAAAGCCAAAAAAAAAAAAAAAAAAAAGGAAGAAAGGAGAGTCTAACCTCCGACTCGGCCTCCTCAACATAGGCCTGCCGGGATGGGTGTACCATCGACATCTTGAAGGTGAGGCGGCCGACCCGGGGCAGCTCCTGCTGGGAAGTCGACTGGGTCCGAGTGTGGCGTTGCGACCTCGATTGTCTTTGGTTCGGATGCGTGAATGGAAGCGACGGCCGTAGTGGTAAAGTGGCTTGGCCGGCTCAGGTAGGTCGGGGTTGGCACTCCACGGAAATGCCTGGCTCGGTTTGCGACGGCGAAGACGCGCGCAGAAGGCAGGTAGGTGCGCGCGCTCACATGAACTTGGATGCGCTTCACTTGAAATGCCCTGACAAGAGGAAGTCACTTAGAAGTACCCTGTGCAGTTTCTTTGTCGAGAAGGAACCAGCCTGGTACCCTGTGGCAAAGTGGAACAAGTCTCCACCTTCCAGCCACAACGAACTTGGGCGCGAAACATGCCTGATTTGATAACAAGCGATAACATTCGCAAGCCTCCGCCAGGTGCAACTGGATCCTGCCCTTTGAACCCGACTCCATTCAGCCATCCATCAACCATCGATGCCGGATTGTATCTTATCCTATGCAGTCTCAATTACGTCCCCATTGCCGGGTCAGCCGAGTCGCGACTAAGTTATCAAATTGGCGATCCTGAACCCGACAACAACACAGAAGAACTCTCGACCCGACAGACAGCCTCGCACGCCTCGAGGTCCTGCCCCATGTTGCGGCTTGAACCAGCCGCGCGATCTTACTGAAAGCACTTGCCAGGGCCCTTACCACAAAGCCTGGTTGCGTATCGCCAGATTTCTCGCCAGAGGGGCAGCTGAAAGGTGGAACCACTCTTCCAGAGTTATCGCGACGACTTCGGAACGATGGCGAGCATCGATCGATACAGGCCTGCCCGGGAGGGCTATCAACCGCCATCGTTACCGCCGAAGCCTCCTCCGCCGGCCGAGCGGCTCTCGAGATCTCCCACCCGCCGAATCGCCGTCCCTCCGGCCGTGCCGTCGCCGCCAGTCCAGACGTCGCGGAACTCGCCACCACACCCTACGTCGTCCAAACGCGTAGTGCCCGTCTCTCCCGCCAACGCGGCAGCAACAGTAACGCCGCCCCCCAAACCCAAGACTAGCCAATGGTTCTTCACTGCGAATGAGATCCTCGCCACGCAAAGCATAATTGACGGCTTGCGCCCGGTGGAGGAGCGTGTGAGGAGAGCCAAGGGTGTCAGCTTCATCTACCAGGCTGGAGTCCTTCTTGAGCTCCCACAGATCACTTTGTGGGTTGCTGCTGTCTTTTTCCATAGGTTCTTCATGAGGGTCAGCCTGGTGGAGGAAAAGAATGGCGTACATCATTATGTGAGTTGATCTGCGGCTTCCCCGGATACCCAAGAAAAGGGTACCTGCTTGCACAAGCACGATCCTCCAGCTCCCTACTCGGGCAGGCAGCAGTGGAGGGCATCTCGAAATAGCCCCATACTAACGTATGTTCGTCTCTAGAACATTGCTGCAACCGCACTGTTTTTGGCGAACAAGACCCAAGAGGATTGCCGCAAGACGAAGGACCTGATCATCTCGGTCGCCCGTGTGGCTCAAAAGAACACAAGCCTGATCATCGATGAGCAGAGCAAGGAGTACTGGCGTTGGCGAGATAGCATTCTGATGCACGAGGAGATCATGCTGGAGATCCTCACTTTCGACCTCATGGTTGATATTCCCTACCAGCCCTTGTTTGAATACCTCAAGCGGCTGGGTCTTCACCATAACAAGCGGCTTCGGGATGCGGCTTGGGCCTACATTAACGACTCCTGTTTCAGCATGCTACCGCTGCTGATGTCGGCGGCCGACATTGCCGCAAGCGCCGTGTTCTTCGCCAGCGTTTCCACTCACGAGAAGATCAACGATGTCCAGGGCGAGCCTTGGTGGCGCCATCTCAAGGCCGACGAGACGCGCATCGCAAAGGCAATAGATGTCATCGTCGAGTTCTACAACGAGAACCCTCTCGGCAAGAAGGACCCAAGGTACCAAAGCTCCCCCGAGTTCTCGCTCGAGAGCACCCGGCGCAGGAGCGTCGACGCCCTCCTGAGCCAGCCTGGGGCCGGCTCGAGCCACAATGACACGCCACTGGGCACAGACCGGGGCACCCAGAGCCCCAGCGCCCGCGCCGCCACCAGCAACCGCGCAAACGACGACCACGACCGAGACAGCAATAGCAACGGCAACGCCAATGACCCCGGTGCCGCTAGCGCGAACACGGTTAGGGAATCTGCCGGCGGGGCAACTTTACCCCCGTCGGATGCCGAGTCGCAGTCCCTGTCTGCAAGACCAAACGGCTCTGGCCTCATCTCTCCAGGCATAAAGCGCGGGCCCGGACAGGAGCCGGACGCTGAGAGGGCTGCTAAGAAGCCGCGCCTTGCAGACGAGGACGAGGGCGAAGTTCCGGAGTCATGACTTTGAGCATCGCCCTATGAAGAGGTGCTGGCGAGGTCGTTTGGTTCCCCCATCTCGGCCCAGGGAACGAGCTTCATGGGTAAGGAGGGACAGATATCTTTTTATTGTTCAACAGGTCGAGGTCATTGGGAGGTTTCATTTGGGAGGTTCCACAAACGGCGCTCGGCCAGGAATGCGAGGCGCATCTACTAATTCCTTCCCGCCTATCGTTCTCACCACTGCTGGCGTTCGGTCCCTGTTTCAACATTATTTCCCATTTCTTTCGATAACCCTTCCTGTTTTTGTTATCCATGGGAAGGTCTGGCCGATACATCAGGATTTCATTCGGCGCTGTACAGTTAATGAAGCAATCAGATGCACAATCCAATACGCTCCACAGCCAACAGCGCTGTTGCCCGCGAGTCACCGTCCATGAAGTCCAAGGCTAGGTAGGTATTTCTGTCTTTGGCGTTGAAAAGTTGGATTTCTTTCATTACTCTTTTTGCTCCTCACCTCTTCCACTGTATCTGTCGACCGACATGGACCGCGTCAGGCCCAACCCCCCGTGTTTCTCAGCCATCTTTTCGTCTAACAGGTCAATCACGTCGAGCATGTTGGTGCATGCAATCAGAGCCATCCTCTCCTTCTTGTTCAGCAGCGAGCGCTTGTCCGGGCCAAATCCGGCGCCGGTCATTTCCGTCAGATGGTGTTGGACAAGCTTCAGGGGCAGCGGCGCGCGAGCGACTTTGTTCATGAAGCGCTCGACAACCTCCCAGCTGCACGCGCCCTGGTTTGAGAACAGCGCAGGGTTGGCCAGGATCGCGCGGGCGGACATCAGCCCTGCCAACTTTGGCAGCACGGGTCGTGGGCTGCTGGGATGCTCCGCGTCGGAGCGGGGCTTGCCTGGTGCGCCATCGTGTCCGCCCGCCCGCGTGAGCAGGGGCGAGGAAAACGGCAGGGTGTCGAGCGTGAAAACGTCGCCTGATACCAAGATCGGGACGGCATTGCCATATTTCGAGGTCAGGACCTCGAGCGCCTCGACGTTGATGGGATCGCTCGAGGGCGTGTTCCTGGTCCTGGGATGGATGGTGAGGAAGTCTATCTGCCGATTCTGTGGGTGGCCGAGGACCGTGTCGATAAAGTCCATGGTCTTCCTGCGAGGAGGGCGGGTGGTCAGCGCGCGCCCACTACGTCCATGGATCTTCGGGAGGAGTGTGCGGCCAGCGTACCGGAGGTCCTTGTGCACGCGTATCTTGACGCTGACGCTCTTCCCGTTTGGGTCGTTTTTAGACTCGTCCAGGGAAACTGCCCACCCATCCACGCGCAGGCGACTCCTCGCCTCGGCGACCATGTCCCGGACAAGCTCCCTCCTCTCCATCAGGGCGGCGCCCAGGACCTCGGCACACGCCCAGGACTGGGGGCAGCCGCAGTTGAGGTCGACGCCACTGACATAAGGGGCGACGAGCGAGGAAGCTCTAGAGAACTCCAAGGGCGAGTTGGAGCCGAACTGGACTATGGTTGGTGGCTGTGGCGCATCCGAGGCGAAAGTGAAATCTACAGCCCCCGTGAAGAATCATTTGTTATTCTGAGCTCGGGAGAGTCGCATAGCAGCGTCATGGTATTGGAAATCAAAGCAAGCCATTGATATAAAGTATGACAACAGGGTCCAGAGATCTTGTTTTCTGGACTGCGGTCTTACCACTATCCCGGGCGAACTGGTTTCGGTTGAACTCTTTGGCTAGGACCATGGGCGTCCAGCACAGATCAACCCCATACGTAAAGACGGTTTGGCGAAACGCAAGCTAGTGACCACTTGTCAGGCCTTTTTTCCTTCTTCCTTTCCTTCCCGGCTATACTTTCGAGGTGTAATGGGAACATGGCAGCAAGGAAGCAGGGAGACATGGTGAGAGACGCCAAACCTTGCTGTATCTGACCATTGGCGCCGAAGCATAGACGAATCTGTCTTGGTCTTTTGCCAGGTCGAATATTTTGAGGGGGCTTGCTTATGCCATCAGCTATCAGCCGGGCAGACGCAAGGGGGAGGGCGATCTAGAGAACCCAAGTTCAAGAAATCAAAGGCGCCGTCTCTGCATACCATTCAGGCGCATCAAAGGGAGGGAAGAGAGAACGCGCAAAGGGATAGAGCAGCAAACACAAGAGCAAAAGAGAAAAGCACAGGCAAACCTGACCTATGCTGTCATCAAGGAAGCACAGCACTTACTGCGTCGTTTGACCTGCCATATTGCAATGCGAGGTGGTAGCCAACAATCCTTTGGGTTTCTCGTGCTTCCACGCGGGCCCCTCACCTATTCCATGGATGGCAAGTGGGCACTTTCTAGGTTGGCCGACGCTTTCAATCACGGATGTTAGCATCACGTGACTCTATTCTGTTCTGTTGCCCATTTCAGTAGCGTCATGCAAGATAGCATCCCCAGAGTCGCACCTTGGTCTGGCCTTGGACCCGCAGCAACTGTACGACACTCTTCAGCGACGATACGCCGACCAGACCTCGACGCCACCAAAACATATTCTATCTTGCAGCCGCCATAATAAGAACCCATGACTCTCGACGCGCCGCGCACTTAGCACTCACGCGCTCAAAAAAGAAGACTGAAAAGGAAAAAACAAAAGGAACGCATCGCGGCCATTGCTTCAAGCCTTGGGACCACAGGTACGTGCCCGAGCAGCTACCTAGGCAGTGACAACGCTGCGACAGAACGTTCATCATGTCGTACCCGGGTCCACCAGGTGTTAGCTCGCCGCACCCATCGCTACCGCCGCGACCGCCCTCAGCGTCGACGGTCAAGAAGCCCGCCGGCGCGTCGCAGGGGCCGCCCTCGTCCCGACTCCCTTCCTTGCCTACGGCATACGGCACGACTGCGCCCCCGGGGTACCCAGCCGCTACAGTCGCTGCGCCGTATTCATACCCTACTACCACGGCGCCTTTGGGCTACAACTCTCCCGCCATCACCGCACCGCCCGCTCACTATGGTGCCTCGCCCACTTTCTACTCGCAGCCCCCCTCCGCGGCCCCGGTGAAGTCTGCTGGCGCCTTCGGGCGTGATGGACACAGCGGAGGCGGCAGCAGCGGCAACAATCGTCGCGGCGGCGGCCACAACGGTGCATACTCGGCATACAACAACACGTTTTCGCCGACAGCGCCAGCCTACCCGAACCAGGCACCGCAGATTAGGAACCCTTTCCCTGCGCCTGGTGTCTCAACAGCCGCTGCAGCGACCCCGCACTCGGCGGCGGGTGACGATGCCGAGATGGCTGCTCAGATCGCACAGTGGCAGAGTGCCTACATTCCCAAAAACGAGGCCGACCACATGGCTGCCGCGGGAGGATATCCATACGCGGGGGCGGACGCGCAGCAGGCACAACCGCAATACCCACAGTACCCCCAGGCGGTAAGCGCCGGTGTTGGTGCCGAGTCGGGACAAAGCACGGAGGAGACAGCGGGCCAGGCACCGGGCCACAAGAAGACGGTATACAGGGCCGGCGGTGGCAAGAAGTGGACCGACGACACGCTCATGGAGTGGGATCCGTCGCACTTGAGGATCTTCGTGGGCAACTTGGCGGGCGAAACGACGGACGAGTCGCTGCTCAAGGCCTTCTCGCGCTGGAAGAGCGTGGCAAAGGCCAAGGTGGTTCGCGACAAGCGCAACAACAAGAGCAAGGGCTACGGCTTCGTCGCCTTCGCAGACCCCGACGACTTCTTCCAGGCGGCCAAGGAGATGAACGGCAAATACATCCAGAGCCACCCCGTGACCATTAAGAAGGCCAAGGACGACATCGTGCCCAAGAACCTCAAGGAGGACAAGAGGAATAACGGCGGGAAGAACAAGAGGCACGGCGGGAACAGAGGAGGCTCGGGCTCAGGGGCTGGGGCTGGGGCGGGTGCGGGAGGAGCGGCATACGAGCCACACCTGGGCCCCGTGCGCCCCGGCGGCGTGGTCAAACCCGGACAGAAGACCAAGGGAGGCCTCAAGCTGCTGGGTTGAGCTGGTGGGTATTCTGGCCGCTGCGTCGCGGTTCCATGCAAGGTGCTTTTGCTGCCAGCTGGCAGAATTGCCGCCGCGCTCGTCCACGATACCCGGACCGTGAAAGCTTGGTATGGCCAGGGGGCTAGAGTGGTGGGTTCTGTTGTCTTAAAATACCATCAACAAGGTAGATGATAGATCCGGTTTGCTCAGATGCGGGTTTGCCCTAAATATCTAGATTCAGCGCAGAAAACGCATACACTGCCCACCACCCGTCGAGAATGCACATGACGGAATAGCCATGCGCGATGCCGAGATGACCAGGCGCCTATTTCTGGGGGGAAGGAGGGGGTCGTCGGGTAGATCAACCGACCAAATCTGGGCACCAGACTTGGCATCGACGCCTCTCGACGTGGCCCCTTTTTTGCACGGGCATGATTTCTTGTCTTCTTCTTCCATTTCTGTACCATGTCTTTGCTGCACGACCATTCTTTCTCCTGCCAGAGCCAAACCTTGGGCACGGCGTCGGCGCTTGCGAACTTGGGATGACTGGTCGACTGCCGTGGAACCTACCGCGACCAAGAAGCCGACCACCAGCCCGGTCCGACTTGTCTCTTTTCAGTCCCACACGCCCACAGGCTCGCAGATAGTGGGGGAGGGGACGGAGAGAGTTTTGTTTTGGAATCTTTTAGCTTCGGGGCTTCCTCCCTCTCCTGCGGCCGTAGTTCCGTCGTCCTATCCCCGATCGGTGGAACAAAAGACCCCTTTCCTTGGGTGCCTAGATACATGCGCACACCCCCTCGCCACGATCCCGGCACCCTGTATTCGACTTTTGCGGCACACCGGATGACGTCTCTGCCCCAAAATGTTGCCACGAGGGCTAGATCACTCTGCCGGTGAGCGCAGGTCGTCATTGTGCAGCTGGCGTGTTTCGTCCACTGCGCCCGACAGGCATATGGTTGGACCGCAAGCCTGTGCAGATCTAGTACATATTTTTCTTCTCTTCTTGCGATGGAGTATGACGGCACAGCCTCATCTCGATCTATGTACGCGCTCCGGGGTGTGTGCGGTCCAGCAGTGAGTTTGTCAATGTTCATCTATGAACCGGCCCTCCCCTCTCCTGTCCATGACGCAGCCCCCGCGCAAAGGCAACCGCTCCGGGCCAGCTAGCGGCCGCAACTAAAAAAGAAAGCCAAATAGCGGGTCCAACTCAAACCGGTACATATTCGTTGTGGTGAACGCTGATCCAAATTACCTACACAAAACGCATGCGGATTTCCATGACACAATCTTCCGCCCTTGCGAACCAAGGCGGCAACTCACTACCTAAACCTATCTGTGTGAGTCTCACAACCAGCTGGCACCCAGCATGGAGTACGTTCAGGGTAGGGGCACCTCTTTTCACCGTATGTGGATGGCAGTTCCACACTGAAGACGATGACACAACGTTCCGGACACCCATACAGGCGCCTCCTTGCCTGTTTCTTTGCTTTGTTATCCTTCAATGACTTTGTCATCCATCCCGAGCCCTCGGCGGCCCTGGCCGTTCCGGAGACGGCCCAAAAGTCATGTGGCCTATCATCCTCGGTCCCCCCCGCGCAGCCTGACTTTACCCAGCGGAAAGTTAACTCTCGGGAGAGCCGCGGCTAGCAAGGGATCAAACCAACTACCCAAAACGGCATTCAACTTATACCGTACCCTACCGAACTGTCCCCGTAGACCATGCCCGGTTAACATGCTCATGTCTCGGAAAGGTCTAACCGCCTTGTCCACATGTTCTAGACCTGGGGAGAACCACACTCGGCGGAGGCCGCGGGGCTGACACAGTGAGCGGGTTTCCTTGTCGCAAGTGTATTATGCATCAGGCTTTCTGCAGCCTCAAACTGCCGTCTGGCGCCTGGCAGATAGCCTTTATCCGAGAGCACTCAGATCGAGTGGTACACTGCTACCCCTGCCAGCACGATATCGCTTGGGTCCTCCCGAGAACTCTCTGGGCTTGGGGAATTTGTCTTCGCTCACAAACTTCCAGCGAGCATCGTTGACGTAGAGCGGCCCATCGCCTCCCGCCCCGCCATGCCTTGCCTCGGACGCGGGCCTTGTTGGACTGTGGCTCGTGGCCCCATTAGGGCTAAGAGTGAAAGCTGAAGGATCAAGCATAGCCGCGCGCATGGGCGATGGCTGATGTGACTGCTGCTGCGCCTGAGCCCTCGGTAGTGGAGGTGCTGGGTAGGAAGATGGCGGAGGCGGAGGTGGTGCAGGTGCGCTCGAGGGCGGAGGTGGAGGGGGCGCCGGCGGTGCTGAATTCGGGCTTGGTGCGCCGGCGGCAGCACGAATGGCCGCCTGGACGGCAAGGTGGGGTGAAGGCGCCCCATTTGATGGTTGAGGTGGCGGCGGTGGTGTATGACGCGCTGGGGCTGCTGGGGGAAGCCGAGGCGCGGCGGAAGGAGGCGGCGGAGGGGGCGCGGGCGGAGCGTTTGGCGCCAAAGAACTGGGCAGTGGAGGTGGCGGGGCCGAGGGATGGATTGCTGACGAAGGCTTCCGGGAACCCGGAGGCGGCGGAGGTTTTTTTACCTATCGGGGGCGGCGGGCCTTTCGCGGAGGCTATCGAGGCCATCGAGGCTGGTCTGTCGGCGGTGCTAATTGTCTTGCGCAGGTTCACCATGGCCGGATGGAAGCTAGGGGGAGCGCTTGGAGCGCTGGGCGGTGCGGGTGCCCGTGTTGGGATCCTCGGAGCAGCTCCTCCGGGCGGACTTGGTGTCATCATGCCTGGCGGCTTCGGAACGAGGCGGGAAGGGGAGTCGGAATCGGACATGAATGACGAGGTTTGATTCGCTAGCGGAACAATAGTCACGTCAGATACACGCAATCGGATAGGTCGCAATAGCAAGAAGCTGTAGAAGTATATGATACGGGCATCTCACCTCCAGTGTCGACACCTGCGCCTCCGGTCTTTCTCAATTTGGGCATGCCGCCGGCAAACAGGCCAGCAAGCGGTGGAGCGCTATCCATGGAGGCATTGGCAGACCCTGTGGACTCGGATCGGCCATGGTCGCCGTTTCCTCGATTACCAGGCACGGGCGGTGCCAGGCCACCCGGAGGCTTCGGCGCGCCGCCCATCATGCCCGGCACAGGTGGGGCGCCGCCGATCGGAGGCCCGCCGCCGCCGCCGCCAGATGAGCTTGCGACGACGGGTGCTGAGCGGTCATTCGTCACGGCCTTCTTCAATGCTCTTCCCTTGGAGATGTCGGAGAGCAATGCGCCCTGTAGCCAATGCAACCCCTGTTAGACGACGGATATCACGCGATGGCGGGAAGACGGTGCGGAGGCGGAGGGGGCGACTCTACGGACTCTGTTCCCTGCCGGCTTTGCGGGGAAACCACCACCCCCCGGGGGAGGTGGAGGCGGCGGCGGTGGCCCTCCCCGGCCGGGCATCGGGGGAGGGGGCGGCGGGGGAGGTGGAGGAGGCATGATGGCGCGACGGCGATGTTCTTGCTCGAGATTCGACAGCGACGGGTCGAGTCAGGGTTCGGGCGGGAAAGGGTGTCCGCGTCGGGGCGTGAGGCGTTCGTGCAGCGAGGCCGAAGCAAGGAGCAACGAGAAGAAAAAAGAAATTGCTATGTATAATGCAGCGTGAGCTTGCCGGCGTTGGCTGGGCAGACAGGCTTGGGTTCCGCGCAACCTGTAACGCAGGAGATGACCGACGACAGGGCTGGCACGTGCGCGCGACAAGCGACGACCTGTTTGTCTGCCTGTGCGTTGGTTGGGCGACTCGCGGTGGCGGGGCAGGAAACGGGCGTTCGCGCGGCAAACAAACAAAAGCCAGGCAACAGCAGACGGCAGGACGGCGGTTGCTGTAGGTGGCCGAGACGCTGAAAAAAGCATCAGCACATGGCTGTTCCCAGGACGTGGTTCAATTAACGTGATGGACCGCTGACATTGAGCTTTCTGGGTGGGTCCTGCTGGCTGGCGGGTGTCGTCACTTGGGGTGTGGCTGAGCCGCGTCCGCGCTTGCCTTGGATCCAAATTTGGCCCAGTGATTGATTCCACTGAGTGCACAGTGTGGGCTTGCAAGCAGGCACTCAAGATCTGTGCAAAGGACCCCGTCCAGGCAGGCTCGGCAGGCCGGCAGCCCCCAATCCCCCCACTTGGGCGAGGCGTTGGGCCGCGTTTGGAAATTGCATACTGAGAGAGGCTGAGAGTTGGCCAGGGGCCTTGTCAAGCCACGCGTTGCCAGTGTCCCTGCGTCCCGGGCCGTGCGCGCCTTCCAGCGTTGTGTGGTTGTCCTCGCGCCTTCCATCAACCCGCCGCGCCGGGTCTGCCTCTCTGCTCTCTGCCGATGTCATTGGCCCCCCACCTGGTTAGTAACTCTGGATCCACCCACCCGGCGGGCACCAGTTCCGGATACGGCACTTGCCTTGCAGCAGGGGTTGCAGTCCAACGCGACATCCCTGACAGCGCGGGCGAAAATTCTCAACCTCATCCCATCTGCGCGGCCCAATTTTTGCTCTCTGTCGCTCTCGACACCTGGCCTGCCCTCCCCATTCCTCGCTTCCTCCCGCTCCTGGTTCTTTTTGCCGACCCAGAGAGGCTAGAGGCTGCACTCACAGCAGCTCCCCGCTTCCCCCAGCGGCCAGACCAGTCAGACCAGCCAGTCGGTTGCCGCTCCAGGCTGTTGGTTGCCGCACCCTATTTCTCCATCGGTCCTAACCCACCACCCACCATTGGCCCGGCACCATGCTCCGTCTTGGGGTGGCACACCCCCCTCCCTCTACCACCTCTCGGGTCTGCCAGATCTGCATGCTGGTGACTTCCCGCAGACATGGCCCTGCCAAGTGGCCGCTGTCTGTAAACCCGGCAGTGGGCGAGCGAGCCCTCACCACTTGCGCCTCCAACAGCTCCTCCAACGCAGGTCACCCGCACCCCGCCGGACGTCCATCTGCACCTGCACCGCCGTCGTCCTGGTCGCCATCGTCCTGGTCGCCATCGTCCTGGTCCCCCGCCCGGATCGGATGGGCGTCTCGGACCCGCGTTAGAGCCCATGCGCCAGCTGGCCGTGCATTCTTGTCGACCAGCACGGCCGCGCGCTCGCTAGGGGGTGCAGGCCAGGCCCAAAGTCAAATCCCCTCCAGTCCAGTGCATAATGCCACTGCAGCAACACCGCCGTTGCCCCCGCTGGAAAAGGTAGTTGCACCGGTGATGCGTGCCAAAAAGGAGTTTCTGGCCCAGGTTGGCATCCCTACTCAACGCTCCACCCTCGATGCTCTGCGCACATGTGATGAAGCTGCCCTCCTGCTGAGGGGCGCTGCCGTCCCGCCCCAGCTGGGCGCCCTGGAGCCCCCATCAGGCAGCTCGACCTCGGCCCTGTTATCACTCGACAGCTCCCGAGGAGTATCCCCTGACGCTGCTACGGCTTCTGCGGGGGATGCTGCGGCTGCTGGTGCTCGCCCTGCTTCGGCCAGGTTCGCCTCGCCCGCGCCTACGAGTTCCCGGCCGGCGCTGGGTTCATCCCCGTCACCCCGGCAATCTCAGGGAGGCTTGGCCGACCCACCCACCTCCCCTCAAACCAGCCCCTCGCGCCAGCTGAATAGTGCGATCGACGGCATCTCGCAGGCGGCCTACGAGATTGTCTCCCTTCCCGCTGTCTTCATCACTCCCAAGATCTTAGAGCTGTACGTCGGCCTTCAGTCCCGTCTTGGGAGGCCTGAAACCCTGCCAGAGGTCTTCTCCATGTATAGGTCAAAACCGGTGCCGCAGGCTCACGGGGCTACCATCAGATACATTGAGCAAAACCCAAACAAGGCGGCAAACGCTGTGGCACCCAGCGTCGCTGAAACTGCCCTGGACGCGGCCATTGAGGCTCGGCACCTGGATGCTGCTGTGGCCATTATCGACAGCGCTTACGCAACTAAGGCCTTCGTCCGGTCCAAGCTCCTGAGAAGGGCGCTGGTGCCCGTCTCGTGTTTCGCTGCACTGCCCGTCTGTCTCTACGTGATCGCCTCGGGAATATCCCACCTCCAGCACACCATGGACCGATCCATGGCCACGGCCATCGCCTTTGCTGGCTTCACAACATACGTGGGCTTCACGTCTGTCATCGGCCTGCTAGCATCTGCCACCGGTAACGACCATATGAAGCGTGTCACCTGGACTCCCGGAACGCCTCTGACTCAGCGGTGGATTCGCGAAGAAGAGCGAGCCGCACTCGACAGGGTTGCCTGCTCCTTCGGCTTTTCGGAATCTCACAGATACGGTGAGGAGGAAGGCGCCGAGTTTGAGGCGCTGCGCGAGTACATCCTCCGGAAGGGCATGATCCTCGACCAGGTCGAGTTGATGGAGGGGATGAGACAATAGGACGGCGTTCCCCGTGGGGGCGGACGTGGGAGGTGTGTGGGGGTCATCGAGCTGTCAAAGGGGCTACGGCGTGTCGGCGTGTCTCGTCTACCTAGACGGCCGGATCCTTCGGTCGTTTGTGGTCACGACAGCAATTCGTCTTGTCCTCTGCTTTCCCTCGACCGCCACGATGGGTTATTTGTCACGTATCAGACTTCATGTTACCCCCCTTCTCGCTCTCGCCCCGTCCCCTCTCCCACCGGCTTCCAAAACAAAAATACGCCGACGGGCGCTCAGCGGACCGGCAGGCGGACGGCAATACAGCTGGCATGGCCACCAAACGTCATACCTCGGTGCACCGCCTCGGCGTGCGCCGGGAGGGACGCTGCTCTGGGAGTGTCGTCTTGGCGGGTCTGCATGTGTCCAGTTGCATGACTGGTCCTTGGTGCCGACGGACGGGGATGTTACGCAGATCAGCAGTCACCCAGCCACGCCCAGGACGCGGGCCCAGACGCTCTGTCGCAGGCCGGTTGAACCTGCCAAGACTTCACGAGCACACACAAACACTCATGTTTCCCAGCTCTTGCCCCCTCGATTCTTGCAGAGATCTAAACGCCAAGCGCCGAGACAAGACTTCTGCCAACATGTTGAGAAGTCTATGGACTGTGCTACAACTCCGCCCGTCACAGGCACTACCGCACGGAGGGACATGGGGCTTTCCGCATCGGGCAAACATCAATGTGTCCCACGCTAATTCTCTTGGCAGTCTCTGTTTCCTCTCTGGCTCTGCATCTTGGCCCCGCTGTCTCTGCCCCTAGCCATGGCTGTGCAATATTTCGATGATCGGGGCTTATGGGATAGTTGCCCGAACTCTCATGTTCGCTCAACATGTATTTTTTGACGTTATCATTTTGTTTTATCATTCTTTTTTTCTTTCGCTTTTTCTTTTCCTTTCTTTTTTTCCATTTTGTGGATGCACCCCTCCCCCCCTTGTTCCTTGCTCGTCAGGCAGCTAGCCAGTTTACCCCTGCCCACGCTTCCCCTTCCCGACCTTCATTTGGCTCGGGCACGTATTCTAATCTGGACAGTGGATCTCGAAGACTAGGTGAATGCACCACCACCACACACGCCCCCCCTGGGTCTTGTCGACAATGACAGCGCTAGCAGGGGGATCTTCCTCTCCCTTGGCGCGGCTCCTGTTGCTGGGCTGATATATCTATCTGATCGTCTCCGCCCCCCGTCCCGACTCTCGGTCCATACATGATCTGTCCAGCACTCACTCACTTACATGCCTATCTGCCTACATTCCATCTTCTTACTCACATATCCATACGACACACCCATACTTGCCCATTCCCGGCCTGCCCACAGTACTCGACACACACGGACAACCATTATTGTCTTTGCCTGTGGCATTGACAGCGTGACCTTACCTAGACAGCCCAGGCGATTTCGCACCGGTTCGCTCCCTGTCTTCTTTACACACAGTCCTGGTGGCCCTCAGCTCGCTTGGTACCTACTCTTTGCCTCGTCTTTTGGTACTTTTCGATCTACCTCCGCCTCCCCGGATCAAGAACCCCATCTTATCCAGTACCCCATATCTCGACCATCCCATCCAGGCGTCATAGACCTCTACTCCAGGGCAAGCCAAATTAGGCAGGCACGGGTCTCAACTCTGCACGGCGGCACCACCACAGCCAGGACCCTACCTAACCTCAACCGTCGTCGGCCGACCGGCTCAATGACTTGAATCCCCCACGTCGTCGGATCCTTCCTCTTCGTACCACTGCCGCCCTGGCACTTTATTTCAACCCTGAAACGCTGCTTCTCCCCGAGGCCCGGCTATCCCGCGTCCGCTCGAGGCCGTTATCGCGCAATGGCTCCCGCCACTCAGGCTCCGGGGATGGCGCTGGTGTCGGCCAGGAGGGAGGATATCGATCCTCAGCAGTGTCTGCACTACGCACAGTTCGCCTCCAGGCTCGACCGGTGGCATTTTGATTTTCTTTACTGGGTTCTTTTCGCCACCAACATTCTCCTGCTGTCTATTGCTTCGTTCTGGTACTCGAGGTATGTCATGCGCCTCCCCTCCTAACCCGGTGTTTTTCTTGTCGGCCCCTACTAACAGCAAGCCTTCGATGGGCAACATCAACAGGACAAACGATAAGACCAAGGATATGGTACCAACAAACCCCGAATTTGTGCGACACCACAAGCGCTGTCTCTATGTGACTATCGCCCTCGCGAGTCTGGCGGTGGTCATGTCGGTCATCGAGGTGTTTGCTCTTCTCGCACTGCAGTTCTGCGACGGCGAGGATCTCATGGCGCTGTACTGGGCCACCTGGACCATGCTGCAATTCGGCTCCGTCATCGCCATCTTCGGCATCATTCTGCACATCATACTGGTGCTGCAGGGCCAAGACCGACCGCCCTGGGCACTGGCCCTCGGCACCCCCGTGCTGGTTGTCGCTGGCGTTGGGAACCTCATCAACTCGGCGCTGCACAGGAAGACGACCAAGGTTATTAAGAAGACCAAGGAGGCCAGGAGCAGGTCCAACAGCAGATCTGGGACCGTGCCTATGAGCCAGGCGTAAGTCACAATCTCTTTACTGCCGACTGCGGACGCGGCATCAACAAAAGAGACCCCTGCTGACACGGCCTCCGACTCTAGTCCCACGATAAGACCGGAGAGTATGGATAGCGACCATGGTGACCGGCCAACCATGCAGCAAGCCACGGTAGTTGGGACGGCGACGGATGGTGGTGTTATCATCCAGCTATCGAGGTCGGACCCAGAGCTCGAGAGCCGCGGAACATTTCTCGGACGCGATAATGACGGACGTGTTCTAGTCTCGTTCCGGCAAGACAAGGTGGTTGTCGTCAACGGGCCAGCCGCTCTCGAGGGTGTTTTGGTGAACCCACGCCAGCGGGAGCAGTCGGAGCCGGTCCGAGCCGGCCACAGACACAAGGGCTCGGCGGGGAGCTCGTTCTACGAGCAGCTTCCGCTTCCCCCCTTCAGCTCTCTCGACGTACAGATTCCACCGCCCAGCCGTAACGGCGTGGGAAGTGGCCCAAGCAACAGCGGACCCAGGCCGCAATCGAGCGGCGGTGCCACGTTGACTCCTACGTCCCCGACATCTCCCAACAGACCCGACACCCGTTCCTACAAGGCGTATCCGGATGATGCGGCGGCGAACAGCGAGAAGTCGCCTCGGATCGAGTTCCCGCGTCTCGACAAGCCCGACAGGCCGCAGTGAATGATGGGCAACGCACAATTTGAAAACACTCATTACATTACATTCATCTACCTTGATCTCACTCTTCCAACACTTTTGTTTCTGCCACACACTCTTTGCTAATTCTTTGTTCCTTTCTGTTCTGGCTCTCTTTTGTTCTCTTCTTGTATCGCACAAGCGTTTCCGCATGGGAAGATTCGGTACGCGATGGTTACGGACTTAGCATGCAAAATGGGCGTTTTGCTTTTCCTGCACAAACATGGGCCTCACTCATGGTCTTGCCATGAATCTTTCCTGGACTCAGTAAGGATGAATTTCAGGCGAAGGATTTGATGACCAACGGCCGGGGCGTTTTGCTGGATTTTTTTCTTCCTTGCATTTTTCGGTTGTTTTTTTCTGCCTGCTTTTTTTTTCTCGTTTATCTCGCCTCTCTTGCCAATCGATTTTGGCCATCCGATACCCTGAGACAATTCCCCCTCAACCCAAAATTTATGTTTGGCTCTGGATTTGTAAATATCTCGCTGCTTTTTTTTTCTCTCCGGCCACCAACATGTCTCCCTGTCGGGCTCGACGTCGTTGGTTGGATGATAAGCCCCATGTCGGTGCAAAATCAACTACCACGCCTATCGGCGTGGCCCTCTACCTTTCCCCCATTGGCGGAACCGGACTCTGGGCTGGCCAGCTCCGGCATCTAGGTTCATCCAAGTGAATGCGTGTTTCTGATGTTTCGTTTCCTCCCTATCCTCCCTGTGCCTTCCCGCTCCCCCTTTCTTTCCTTTTTGGTCGGCACACTGTGACTGGCAACAAAATTTGGATGTTCTGGGAGCAAGGGACCCCCCTGGTCGGGACGAGGGTCACCCCTGGCCGCGGCAGGGCCGGGAGGGTAAGGAAAAGGCCCGGTTGGGCGGGCTGGGCGCCCGACGGATGGAAATATGTATGAGGGGGAAGCGAAGGGAACATAAAGACGGCGCAAAAAAAAAAAAAAATTCGACCATGTGCGTCAGGTTCAGCAATTACGGCAGGTGTCGGCGCAGCCAAGGTATGACAACGTTGGGCGGTGTAACCTGGACTCGCAGCACCTTGTGTCAAATCAGTTGAGCACTATCTTCTAATCACTTTTTTTGGGTTTTTTTTGGGGGTTTTTGCTGTCTCAGCATCCCTGCTCCTTGTCGCCGCTCTGGTTTTCAAGCCACACATGCTGACGTTAGGCGCAGCTCTTCTTATCAATCAACAAAAATCCACGACAGCTTGACTCACATTCGGCGACGGGCAGGTTCTGGGCGAGCCGTGCTTGCCGGGATGAAGGCTGAAGGGATTTTTGGGCAAGGGGAACGATGTGTTTTTTTTTTTTTGTTGAGAAACGAAGGGAGAATAAACGAAAGAAACAAAAACAAAAGTAATGCCAGGGTGTCTTGTCGTGTCGTTCGTTGCCCTGCAACCACACCGCCGTCGGTATATTTCAGTTACCTTTTGGGGGAGGATACATACACATGCAACTGACCCGACCTAGCCCGCCCGGGCGAAAGCTCCATGCAATGCCGGCAGTCGTGTAAAAGTATTTTTTTTATGTGTGCGAATCTGCTCGGGAACGGAGAATGCAAAGATGTGAGGGCTCCAGACCCCAAAGGGGAGAGATGAAGAAGCCAGAGGGAAGAGACGCGCGGCCAAGGCCCGGAAGGCGGATCTGCGCAACCGCACGCCGCTGCGTACGTGCTTTAGACCGTCTTGGCTCTTGCTTCTCTTCTCGTCTCTCTACTTCCATCTCGTTTTCCTTTCTTCCTCCTTTTTGTCAGTTTGCTTGTTTGACCGTGCCTCCTCTGTGCTCGACGTGCGCCGCCGCCCGTGTTTCTCCGCCATCTTGGCTTCCACCCCCC